AAACAAAAAGAAAATACTCATAATGATAAAAAGATAAAATTTGAAGATATAAAGTTCCTAAATAAATCAGGTGTAGTGGCATAAGCCTACAATCCCAGCATTCAGGAGACTGAGGCAGGAGGATCACTGTGAGTTCAAGGCTAGTTTGGGCTACATAAGCAAATTCAAGGCTCACTTGAACAACACAGTGAGACCCTGCCTCATAAACAAATAAACAAAATTCCTAAGTAGTTGTGCATAGACGAGTCTCATGTCAAGAACCAAAGCTTTTTTAAAAAATCAAACGCTATCAGGATTAAAAGGAAAAATGGACAAAGCCAGGAGGCAGGGAGCATATACCTTCAAGGAAACTGGGAAAGGATCAAGAAAAAACCTGGACCCCCACAGAGCTTTGGGATCCGGTCCAATATGGAGCTGCAGATACAGATGTTCCAGAGGTGGCCTGAGGTCCAGCCCGTACCCTCCAGGGGAGCTTGAACCTGGGCAGCACAAAACAGGAAGACTCTGGGTTTCATCTGAAGTCCAGAGACCCAATTTCTGCTGGGCAAGTCACTCCGCACCCCCGGGCCTCTAGAAAGAGGTATCTCAATCCAGCCTAGATGTCAGAGCAACATGTTATCTCTCACATTTTGGGCACTAGCCAGAGGGCACTAGACACAGGCCCTTCCTGTATCATTTGGAGCCTGGGTCTCACTCTGCAGCTGGGCAAAGCCAGGGAGCAATCCTGGGCATGCGAAGAGGAGGCAAGAAACCTCTTCCTGGTTGGGAGGGACAAAACAGGCAGCAGGGCAAGAACCTAGTATCTCTGGGTCCAGCAACTGCTGTGCCCTGAAGAGGGTCAGTTATTAAGGCTGTTTGCTCACTGTGCCACAGAAGCTAATCAAGAAGGTGGGGGGAGAGGAGAAGTAACTTTAACCTGTAAAATATCAGCAGATACCAGGATGGTGACGGAAAGGACCAGCTGATTGGGAAGCTAGCTTAGGGGCAGTTTATATGCAACGTGGAGATCACAGATGGGTGGCTCTTTCTCAAAGGTGAAGGCTTACATCCAGAGGATGCACATCTGATCTGTGATTACACAGCTAATCACAAGATGTTTCTCAGTTCTGCAAATCTCAAGTGATTAATTTTCAAAGACCATCATCTCTTCAGGCTGTGCTTATGGATGATTAGTTCATCCAAGTGTGGTTCCTGGCATACTGCACAACAGACAGGCTGGAGAAATTGCTCCACAGAGGCCCTGCTGCAGATCACCAAACTCAGTAATGAAAGGAAACATACCTCACCTGATGGTAAAACTAAATGTCAGTTGGACATGCTAAGGGCAACAGATCCAGCCTGCTTGCTTACCTTCCAGTTCACAAACTCTTCAGGTAAAGAGGCCCTTTGACAGAGGCCTCTTGAAGCAGTACACAGTAAGGTACTGTGGCCCAGGAAAGTTCAGCTGCACTCTTTCCTCCCTTTCCTCTTTCAACAAAGTCCAAGAGATCTCCCAGTTCACCCCTCACCAGTGAATGGTCAGTTCTTGCACTCAGGCCTAGAGGCCATGAATCACCAAAGTCCTTCCTCTCCTGTGACGGCTTTCCTGGGAGGCCTCCCCTGACACAGTGCTTAAGGATCACATCTTACCAAACAGGGACTTGAGGCTTAGAAGAGCCAATGGTTTCAAGGTGATCAGGCCAGGCCAGAGCAGGGTTCCCCAGCTGTAAACATGGGGCTTTCCATCAGGGCACCAGTCTTCCAAATGCCACACACACACACACAAACACACACACAGTGCAGGAACAGCCTGGGCTGGATGCAGGTGAGCTAGGTGTTTTGCACAGGGTGGGGAACACCTGTACCTCAGTGGTGTGGGGAATACAAGCACTCCAGCCCCTGCATCTCTGTGGTGGCCTGTGCCTTGCCCTGGTCAAATTCTTCTGCCCTAAGAATGTAGACTTGTCTTTCATAGCCTGCAGCTTGGTGTCTCCTTTGGGTGCCTACTGCACTCATGGCATCCCACCAGCCGGGAGGAAAGGCACAGATGCCACTTTCTAAGTCCTTCAGGAGCCTGTTCAGCTCCCGCCACAGTGTATAGGGTCACTGCAAGCTCGGAGATGAGAATCACGTCCTCCTTTGGCAGGAACTGTGTCCTTGCATAACAAAGTGCCTACTAGGCCCCTCCCGAGGTGTTTAGATTAGCCATGCCATCTGCACTTTCTGCAGATTTCCACCTTCTACACTCCGGAAGCTTACGCCCCATTCTCCAGCTTTAGGGGCCTTGGTCACCTAGATAAGCTGACATTGAGCCCAGGCATTGGGAGGAGCAGGCTGGCAGCAGCTTCCTTCCTCTCCTGAAGGCTGCAGTCCTTCAGCTACAAGCCCTCACTTGACTGCCCCTTCACCCCTACACGTGCAGAGCGGGTGAGGGCAGTCCTCACCTACAGCTCTGTAAGTAGCTGAATTCTCCTCCAACTACATCATTTCTGGTACATGTCCTCAGCTTCTTGCCAGGAGCTGGACAGATATAGCACTTAGATATTTCTTCATTAAATGCTACCAGGCACTTACTTGGGACACATGCCAGGGACATAGGGAGGCTCCTTCTACATGCCAGAATCCTCTGCTCTTCTCCCCAGAGGCCCAACCAGGCAAGAGAGGAGAAAACAGAACCTGAGTTTCCAGTTTCCCAGAGCAGGGCTCCTGGCACTCCCTTCCCTGGTCCTGAGGTCTGCAATCTAGGAAGTCAGGTCCATGGTGGGATCTAAAATGGGACTCAGTCCTCTTCCCAACAGCACACATTCATGGTGGCACCAGAAGGTCCAAGACACTGTCCCTCAATACACATGGGTGGGGGGTGGACCAGATACCTGCTGCAGCGCCACATACCCAGTTCCTGGTTTCACCCAGGCACTGGCCAGAGCAGCAGGGACTGGGGTGACGCGGTTGTGCTTTATGTCAGCCCTAGAGCTGTCAGTCTCCTGGGTAACCTTACTTTCTGCCCTCCCAGAACTTGTGTCATCCATCAGTCTCTGAGGCTCCCTTTGTTAGGGCACCTAGAATGGTTCGTTTTCTTGACTGGCTGCTCGCTGTTATCTCAATTGTCTTTCCAGGGCCAGAGATTCAGCTTAGTGGTATAAGCACTTGCCTGGTAAGCACAAGATCATGTATTTGATCCCCGGTACCATTAAAAAGACAAGTCGATTGCCTTTCCATGTAGCCTACTCAATGACCAGAAATGATGTTAGGGCCCAGACTGAACACAACAGCATCCCATGGCCATTTTCTAAAGTGGCACTTCCTTGTTTTTTTCATGTCTAAGTCTTGTAATGACACAGGTACTTCCACTGCTTTCATGCATGGTACTAGGGATTAAACCCAGGGCTTTCACACTAAACAACATCCCCAGCCCTTTTTTTAAGTTTGAAACATGGTCTTACTAAGTCACCAAGTTGCCTGAGATGGGTTCAAACTTGCTACCTTACTGCCTCAGCCTCCCAAGATTACAGGCAAGGTCCATAGGTAAATTCCACATGACAGAAGATGACAATGCACAACCATGTCACCTCTACCAACTTACCGGAGGCCTGGACAGCAGCAGCAGACTCGGTGATCTGAGCTCAGTATGAACCCTCACAAGGCAGGTTCTTAACAGGGCCCACCGGTCAGTTTCCAGTGCACACAGCAGCCAGAAATCGAAACACTTGTAAGCATCCCAACCTTCCGATCAAGAAAGAAACTCCTTTTGGAGGGCTGGGGATTTAGCTCAATGGTGTAAGCGCCTGCCTGGCAAGTGTGAAGTTGTGAGTTCAATCTGTTAGTCTATTAGTTCGTCAGAAAGTTCCCTTTCTGGTGAACCAGCAGAGATCAGTAGTATAGCTTTGGATTGTGTGTGTGTGTGTACACATATACACCCACATACAGATAATCTTTTCCCTTCTCTCCTTTCCCCTATCCCAGCTGTTCTTTCCTTTTTGAGCACTTTCTTTCCCTTTCATTATCACAATATCTATTTTACATTTTGGATTTTATTACTATTTTTTTCATGCCTAAATCTTGTAACCTGAACAACTACAACAATGTACAATACATGTGCTAATTTTCTATAATTTTGAAATTCTGTGTCATTTTTGTTTTGCATTTTTAAATTAATTTTTTTAAAAATAAGTTCCTTTTTTTTTTTTTTTTTTTTTTGTCTTTTTGAGACAGGGTCTCGTTATGCAGTTATACAGTTCAGGCTGGCTTTGAGCTCACTTTTGTAGCCCAGCCTGGTCTCAAACTTGCAACGATCCTTCTGCCTCAGCTTCCCAAGTGCTGGGATTACAGGCATGAGCCACCACGCCCGGCTGAAGTTCCCTTTCAAACATCATGGCAGGCTGGGCATGGTGGCTCACTCCTGTAATCCTAGCACTCAAGAGGCTAAAAAGCAGGAGGATCATTGCAAGCTCGAGACCAGCCTGGGGTACAAAGTGAGCTCAAAGCCAGCCTGAACTGCATGGCAAGACCTTGTCTCAAAAAGACCCCTCCCCCCCAAAAAATCATAGCAACATCTTTGATGTTTGTCTCCAGTCTCTGGTAAATGTGGCATTGGATTAACCATCATCCTTTGTAGGACGCTTGGATTATTCTGTTTTGCTTTTTTTTGAGACAGGGTCTCACTATGTAGTTCAGACTGGCCTTGAACTCCCAATGATCCTCCTGCCTCAACCTCCTGAGTGCTGTGATTACAGGCAAGCGCCACCACACCCAGTCTGTTAGAACACTTTTAAAGAGAAACCCATGAATCATTGCTAATCAGCTGTCCCAGACAGGTAGGGGCAGAGGTGTCTGCTCCTTGACGCATTACCCTCCAGGAGTCTGGTGTAGGCAAAGTATAAATAGCAACAGGCGTTGGTACCCAACAGAAAAGCCTGGGCAGCCAGGCACACTCTATGGCCCCCAGCACTGGCAGAGACCACCTGTAGGCAGTGGTCAGTAAGATCTAAGGTTCTTCTGCCCATCCCAAGCTTCCGAGTGCCTTCCAAGATGATTCCAACTTTTATTATCACAAATTCAGTTGTTATTATATTGACCAGCACATGATTTTTTCAACATCAAAAAGTTAATAAAAATATTCCTGGATCTTCTAACCATGTGGACAATTACTCTAATGTTTAAATTAGTGAAAACTATTTTAAGAAACCAAGTCATTCCACAAACTCCTCAAGGAGCCCCAGGAGATGTGAAACAGTGGCCCCATGTGCTAACAGACTGCATCTTTGCAATCTTGGTAAGAAAAAAGGAAAGATTGGTCAAACCGAATCACATTGTACAATGAAATTGTGGCCTAAACCCCAGTGAACAATCACAAAGCCCTGACAGCACTGGCATCTCCACTCAACTAAGTGAAGAGTTTTCTCTCTGGCTGTAGTGGGGTTTTGTTTTGTAGAGAGAGGGTTTCACTATGTAGTCCAGGCTGGCCTCCAATTTGCAAAATCCTCCTGCCTCAGCTTCCCAAGAGCTGGGATTACAAGCCTGAGCCACCTGGCTCCTTTACATCTTTTATCACAGCAGTGTTGGTGAGGGGAGACACGGAAGCATGTGATTTGGAGGGCGTGCATAGGACCCAGCCTTCCTCTCCAGCCAGCCCTCGACTATGCAGTCTGCCACAGCAGCCCAGCTGTCCCACAGTCCCTACAGCGCTGTCCAAGGCTGTCACCCTTTATACCCGCTGAGGTCCACCCTAGTCTAAAATTCCCCGTGGGCCCTGCTCCCTGAGACCGACCACTCTATAGTTTGCCAGAGCCACAAGAGGAAATTCTGAACCATTTCAAGAGATTATAAAAATCTAGCTGGGCCGGGGTGGTGGCAAACGCCGGTCATCCCAGGGCCTCTGGAGGCCAAAACAGGAGGATTGCAAATTCGAGGCCAGTCTGGGCAACTTTCAAAGCCCGTCTTGAAATAAAAAAATAAAAAAGGCTGGTGATATAGCCCTATGGCGGAGTGTTTGCCTAGCACATGTGAGTCCTGGGTTGAATCCTTAGTACCAGAAAGAACAAGACCTTCCTGGGGCACTCACTCAAAGAACTAAAGGTCACATGCTCCCAAACGACAGCACAAGACTGTGCTCCCCACATCTGGCAGAAATGAGGAAGGGTCCTTAGAACCAGCACAGAGGAGCAGCTGTGACTCCCCCTGATGTGGACAATACCAACTGTGTGACTCCTGCTATCTTAAGGACAAAGACTTGCAGACTGCTTTGTGGCCAAGAAGAGGAAGGAAAGGACTCCTTCTGGGCCTGTATCAGTCCGTCTCCTCAAACACTCAAGAAAACCCCAACAGAGGCAGAGGCTTCCGGACAGTGGGCAAGGGAGATGGGTGTGTGGGGGTGCCACTGGGTAATGGGGAGTAAGCAAAGAGCCACGGGAGTGAGCCTTCTGAGGAATCCTCATCTGAAGGGCCTCCTCTCATCTCTGTTTGGTAAGGGTCTGGTCTGCTGAGGCCAAGGGTAGTCTCAGCCCAAAGGGCATCAGCCCCCACCCTTACTGACCCAATAGCAGCGTGAGACCCCACTAAGCCTCAAAACTCACCTCTAGCTGCAAATGGGGAAACACACACAAGACGCCTTCCTGCAGGCAGACAGTTAGGTTGAACCCTTGATTTGGAAGGAAGTTGTGAAACCAAGGGTCCAGAAATAGGGCCACAGGAAAAATTCATGCTGTTTAGAGCTGGCTGCCACAGTGCCACCCTGCCCCAACTCCTTTCAAAATAACACTCACATTTCACACAGCGAGGCCCCTTGAAGAGACAGTGAACCCTTCTATCTCACAGGCCTCCCCCAGCCCAGTACGGATGGAGTTCTCATGGCTTCCCCAGCTTTATCCCTGCAGGACATGCCCTGCAGCCAAGGACTGCAGTTGGGGGACCTTCTGTGGGGGCACAGATGCCTCCCACATACTAGGGAAGGGCTGGTGGCCCACACATCAGACGCCACACAGTGTGTTATCCTTTAATGACAAGCTGGGTGAGCAGGCTGCCCTCTAGCCGAGCAGCCCCTGCAGCTCGTGACCCTCACACAGGGTACCTAAGTGCTGTCTGGGAGGCAGGGTGGCCTGAGACAGCCAGCCCAGCAGAGAGGTCAGTGTGCAGTGACCTGGAAATGGCATTTATCTCTCAGACCTTGCAGGTGGCAGCAGCAACAGTACAGAGGAAGCTGAACCAAGTTCAAAGAAGACAAAAGAGGAAAACAGGAAGTAGGAAGGCTTTCCTTCCCCTCAGAATCCTGATGGGACAAAGGCCAGTACTCACAAACAGCACAGTCTCGTCAGGGGCCCCGAGGCCCTTCCAGCCACTCTCTGGAAACCCTTAATTCCCAACTCCCTGCAGACTGGTGTCACACAGGAAGTAGCTCACAGGGTCCCTGGGCTCAGAGCTGGCCAGGCACTGCCCCATGAGCCTCCTGGTCCCAGGCCTGCAAGATGGTCCAACAGCACCCAGGCCAGAGCCTAAGGAGACGGGGAGCCACTTTCCTCTAACTCTGCTTGTCAGTCACTACAGGCATCTAAGATGGTGGATTCTCCATCAAGGTTCCAGGCCTGCCCAGGCGGGCTACAGCAACAGCAGTTTCCAGGTCCCTACAGATCCGTGACCTTGTTTTCCACAGCAGCCGCAATCTGCTGGAGCCGATAACCCAGTTGCATCTTCTGGGCTGTGCCATCCTCCTCCAGGGCAGTGATAATCTGAAATGCAGACACCAACCAACACCATCAGAGGGGACTGCGCTGGCCCTCGAAGTCACCACAGTCTGCACCAGGCTCCGAGACACTGCAACACAACTTGGGGTCGGGGTCTCACTGATCTCCTATGTGACCTCAGGGTCTCACTGGTGAGAGGTAATGACAGAAGAAAGCACCTTGAGGCTTGAAGGATTAGTGAGGTAGGGAGTGACATACAGTACCTGGCACTGGTGGTAACAACCAAATATCCACCTCACCAGGAAAGCCACTCACCAAGGCCGCAGAACCCAGATGTAGGCCTCTCGGCCCACTGCTGCCAGCCAACAGCAGGTCCTCGGATCATGTGCCAGGCACTGCAGGAGCAGGGACCCAAAGGGACCAGGCAGATGTGGTATGAGAGACAGCTACGGAGCCTTACAAACAACTACTAAAACAATAAAAGGGCTGCCTTGAAGGCCACAGATGGAGACTGCAAGGACAGCAACTCCTACCCATCCCTGCAGGGGGCGTGGTGCATGGTAGCCCTGTCTGCCCTATGATATGGCCATACCACGCCAAGCAAGGCTGCACAACCCAGACCTCACATTCACAGAGCCATCAACTGCCACCCACTGGGCCACAGCCATATCACTGGTGCCTCATGAATGTGAATGGGCCATTCCATTAGGTACTCACAGCCCAAGGGTCCCTCAGAAAGTCCCCTCACCCATCCTTATGGGCCTGGACCCATTTCTCCCACGGCTCGCATGGCCTAGTCAGGTCTGTGCCCTCTCAGGGAGCCATGTTCAACACACTACCAACTATGGAATCTGGAAGGGACTGACTAGGGCAGGTTAAGACAGAGGTGGCAGTTGTGTGATCTGCCAGCACATCCCACATACCATCTCCAGGTCCTGGCAGGGCTCCCAGCAACCCCCAAGCACTAACTACCACCACGGTGGGAGCCCTGCTGAAGGTCTGGGTGATAGGGACAGGGAGCCACCACCCGGAAGCATGCCAAAGATGCTTCCCAACTGAGTCACCAAGCCAGATGCCTTCTGTCCACAGAGCCTCCCAGGATGTTCCACAAGGCCCGCCTCCCAAACAAGGCCCAGGAGCTGCCCACCTGGTCATAGTATTTGTTGATATACTTGTAGAGCTCATGTAGCGCCACTCGTGCCCCAAGGTCACCGGAGTAGTTCTAGGGAGGAGGGCAGGTAAAAGATGAGAGATGAGGGGTGCAGCCAGACACAGAGGGAGGCCCAGGACCCCAGAGAAAGTCAGAAAGAGAGGGCTCCTTAGGAGAAATGAACTCCAGGTCTACAACTGCAGTAGAGCCTAGGTTTCCACTAGGCCCCTAACACTCTCTCACCATCAGACTCCAGCGTAGCCCCCTGCCATCCCAGGTGACTACAATCAAGTGGGACAGAAGCCACTTGCAGGCTATGGGCCCAGTTTTAATTCTGCTATGATCTCATTCAAGTATTCTCTTCCAGGGGGACATCTCTGAAACTCAACTCCTCCTCTGGACCTAATACCACCTAATTTGTGAGGCTTGTATGGGGACCAACAAAACAGCACCTCTTGAAGGGTCTGACACAGCATGACCAAAAAAGCACAGGTCCTGTTACCACTGTAGCTGTGGTTGTCACTGTCATTTCAGAAACACCCTTCATGAGTTCCCGAATTAATATTTGAGGGTTGTCTTAGGAGTAGGTGGGACAGGTGTCCCAGTGATGTAAGCAAGCAGGGGAAGGCATAGGGAGGCAAAACCTGCAATCCTGCAGACCCAGTAGGGCTGCAGATACTCAGGCACCCAGCTGGGTCAGATTCAACGGTAACTGAGACAAGACCCCTGCCCACTCTACAGTGAGATGCTGGGAGCCCTGGTCTTTTTCAGCAGTAGGTAGAAAAAATACTGCGTTAATAATGATGTGCCTCAGGGGCTGGGGATTTAGCTCAGCAGCATAAGCACCTGCCTTGCAGGCAGGCAGTCGTGAGTTTGATCCCCAATACCAATAAAAACAAAAAAGACCAAAAAAAAAAAAAAAAAATGATGTGCCTCCTGCCCCCACCAGCTCACGGGGGCTGCTGAGGTCCCAAGGACTTCCCTACAAAGGGGTCCCTTAAGCTGGTTAGGGCAGAAGTATTAGAGAAACAGGACCATTATGGCAGGTAGCTTGTGCCCAACCCCAAAGCCTTACCCGTGACAGCTCGGCCAGGGTGGAGTTCATCTCCTGATCGCTGGCTGGGATGGTTTGTCTAATGTCTGCGTAGTACCTGCCAGAAAGTCCAGGACAGCTGCTGCTGGGCAGACAAACCCACACTCCCTACCCCTCAGTAGGGCCTACTTGGGGCTGGGCCTCAGCTCCCTGCACACCCACCAGCCCCTCAGGTTCCACCGCCTTCCCCAGTACCTTTCCACCATTCCTTTGTACCGAGGAATATCCCGAGCGTACAGAAGCTTGTTGATGGGGGAGTCCTGGGCACACACAGGAGGGCAGTACAAGAGGAAACAGATGAAACCCCCTATTAAATCAGCTCCCCAGGTCCCAAAGGCATGTTCCAGTTTTATTTTATTTTTATTAGGACATGTTTTCCCTGCACACTGTTTATCCTTGTGAGGAGCTGGTGTTCATATACAATACATCTTAATTCCTTTTTCACCCCCTACCCCTTACCCTTAACCCCACCCTTCTTCCATTTCTTGATCCCCTCTCCCTTTGAGAAGGGATCTCCCTATTTCTGATTATCTACTTTTTTTTTTTTTTTTCAGGCTGGCCTTGAGCTCACTTTGTAGCCCAGGCTGGTATGGAACTTGCAATGATCCTCCTGCCTTAGCCTTTGGGTGTGCTGCGATTACAGGCATGCACCCCGTGACCAGCTTTTAGTTTGCTCTTTATCTGTACTTTGGATGTCTGATTTATTTTATTCAACATAATGGTATCAAGGTCCATTCACCTTCCTACAAATGGCTCAAGTTTATCCTTTATGGCTCAGGGCTTCAGTTTTAAAACAGAAAGTCCTATGTCCCAGGAATGCTTCAGACCCAGCAAACAGGACGGTTGGTCACCCCAACCCATGTCCTTCTGCAGGTACTTTCTCCACCCCCTTCCTCACAGTGTCCAATCTCTGTCCTCAGCTCGCGCTCCTTCCATTGTGTCCTCAGATCACATCTCCAGTTGGAGCTGGCAGCGACACAGAGTAGATGTCTGCTGTTCACACTCCATGTAATCATTTTAAAACTCAGTAAGCTGTGGCCCAGGAAAGCATGGATGTTGTTCTAGAGTGCCTCATTTCCCAGAGGCTGGGCTAAGGTTTCCCAGTCTCTCGGGTCAGAGACCACAGCGTTAATATGCCCAGACACTGCCTCTACCAACACACTGTGCTCATGTCCCAGCAGCCGCAGGTTTCACCCGCTCCCTCCTGTTCCTGGGACTCGCACCTCATGCTAAAGCTGAGGGGAAGGCAGAAAGGTGGAAGTGCCGCTAACCGTAGTGAGAACAGGGACGTACGTCCAGGTCACCTCCCAAGTTGAGCTGGAGATTCAGGTTTTCTCCCCAGTCTGCACAGGGGGCTCTTGATATTTCTGCTTTGAACTATTTCTGAGCTACCCAGGAACCATTTGTTGTTCTGTCTGGAAGGGGAAACAGTACCAAGGCCTGGCAAAAACCCAGCCATCACCTAGAATCCATCCCTGGAGGCAGCCCCCTGGGTCCTGGTGAGGCCCTATGATTGTCAACTTACCACGGGCAGATGATTAAACAAAAATGGCTCCCAAAAGACAGCACGATAGGGTTAAACTTTCCATTTTCCTTCTTCATAGAAGTCTAGAGGTATGATCTAAGTGGAGCCCCACTGATAGAGCTGAGAAGCCACAAGGGCCCTGCCTGCTGGGTGGCTGAGTAGACACACTGGGAACCCCAGATGCCACGGACTCGGGGCCTTTACTATTATAACCTTACACTCCCAACCACAGTGCTGCAGGACCACTTACAACACGTCTCTGTACCTCCCAGCTGCCCCATTAGCACACCTCTCAAACTTAGCTCTCCCCTAGACTCGCCTCCCAGCCACTCCTTTGGGAGGAAGACACCTCCTACCCTAAGGCACTAAATCCACCAGGCAGCCTGGATCTGCTCTGAGTGCGGAGAATCTGCATCTCCACTGGAAATCACCTGGCATCCCCACAGACTCGCCCCCTCTATATCTGAGCTCACCACACCAAAGACTCCACAATCATATGAATTCCCCTTTCTCTGCATCCCTCACATACAGCCCATGGCTTCTGCCTGCCTTGTGCCCTCTTGTGGGCCAGCACCTGGCCCTTGCTTGTCCACTGCAGCACAGCTCCCTCTGAATTCCCAGGCTCCGGGCTACCCACGGGGTGAACCCTCACCAAGTGGCCCTGGCTGGCTGTCATGGACTGTCAGCACTCTATGTGCCCAGCTACACCAGGCTGCACCTGCACCACCCCACACGCATGTGCGCACGACCCCCTGGGTCCAGCCCAGTTGCTCACCCGGCCCAGCTTGTGATCAGCCAAGGTGCAGGCATCCATGAAAGTCTGTGCGATGACAAGCAGCACAGCATCCATGTTATCAGACGTCTGCACATCAAACACAAACTGCGGGTTTTTTATGATATTGATCCAGAACCTCAGAGGCAGGCTGTGGGTGGGGTACAAAGGCTGATGAGCGTACTGGGGAGGAAGGAGAGGAAGACTGCCACACCCACACTCCGAGCCCAGCCCCTCATCTACCTGTTGGTCTTCCAGATGTGAATGGTGTCCTGGTCGGAGATGCCATGCTGCTGGGCCTGCTCATCCAATAAGTCAAAGAAATATTTCACAGCCAGAGGCACAGGGCGGCTGGTGCTGAGAATCACCTGAAACAGGTCATCCACGAACTTCTGCAGGGTGCCCTGCGGGAAGAAGGGAAACAGGGACACATGGTCAGCAGAGGCACCCCAGACCCAGCCCGGCTTAGCCAACCCTACGCCATCCCCAGGCCCTGAAAGTGGCCATTCCCCACACCCAGACCCCACTGCCAGGCCCCCACCCACCTTCATGGACAGCAGGCGTGTCAGGTAGATCTCGGGGATGGCCTTGGCTCGCTCCCGCTCCCCGCCCCGAAGACTGCCTCTCCGAGGCCGGGGTGGCTCTGGCTCCTCACTCGGCTTCACCAGGTGCCAGGGCCGGATGCCCCCCTCATCTACATCTTCCAGCATTGGAGTCCCTGTGCCAAGACCCCATAGCTCATCACCCCACACCAGATGCCACCTCCTTGGGACCTCTTGGGTCCTGTCAACTCTCCCAGGAACAGAGGCACCTGGCTGAGGTGTCTCTGGGTAGAAAAGAAAAAGGCACGACCCCACCCTGAGGTCCAAAGGACCTCCGCCCGTGTAACCCAGGACTGGGCACACAAGCATAGAGCACCACATGAGGGCTTGGGGGCAGGCACTCACGTTCTCCTGGGACATAGTCCTGGTTCTCCCTGAGAACGTGCTTGGTGAGGCAGGGGACAAGGGCCACAGTTGCTCCGTCTGGGACCTGCTGACCACAGCTGGTGATCCCTCCACCAGCCCCACCCCATCATCCCCACTCCACCCCCACCTTCCCACCTTATAATGCTGCAGAGTATTCAAACGCCTCCACAGGCCCTGGACCTCAGAAGTGACATCCTCATCAGAAAGGATGAGGTGACCAGCCACCCCAGACCGCCACTCTGCAAGCATAAAGGTACTTGGCACAGGGATACACCCTCTTCTTCAGGGGCAGCCCCCCACCTAGTCCTTACACAATCTAGGGGAGCAGCTGTCTGAGAGAAGTATTCTAGGGTCAGCCTCTGTCCCAACTCTGCACATCCCACCAACCTCGGGTGACAAGTAAGCCCAGGCCTAATCCCACCTCAGACCCTAACTGCTGCCTCCAGGTTCTCACCAACATCCAGGGTATGAGGGTCCGGCCGCTGGGCAAGAGGCACTCCTTTATAAAGCTGGTCCAGCATTTTCTCCTTGGCCTGGGAGATGGTGTCACAGTCCAGGACCTTCACTGGCACACCCTGGGACTCTCCCGCCCCAGGCCCCACAGCCAACAGCACATTCAAGGTCTGCACAGGACACAGGAACATGGTCAGGAACCAAGTTACGTTCAGAACACAAGGCCAAAGCGCTGGGGCAACTCATGAGAAAACCTTAGCCCCTGACCACCAAGTCCTCAGCAATCCCTAGTTTTGTCTCTCCATCTGCCGGCGTCCCCCAGCTCCAGCTTCCTCTACAAGCAATCCCCACACACACGCGCTGTCGTGGATGGTGGAGCACCTGAGCAAGTTTGAGCCTTGCTCCACTCAGGTGAATCAGCATACGTGAGGCCCTGGGCTCCACCCTCAGCACCATCACAAAGAAACCAATCAAGAGCTCTCCCCAGTGGGCAGCCAGAGGATGAGCTGGCGCTCTCTCCAGGCATAGACCCTGGAAGCTGGGACCCCACCAGGAGATGGATCCCGCCCACCACACACAAGCACACCCTCCCTCACCAGGGGTCGGTACTCCACATCCTCTCTGAGCAAGCGGTTATCATTGAGGGTGTATTTGGCTTTGCCAGTCACGCTGTCCACTGGCCCCTTGTCCACTTGATGCTTAATCCCTCGGAAGAGCATGTACAGAGGCTCCCCTACTGAGTCCTGGGGGGTGCAGGCAATTAGGGGCCCGCAAGGGCACTCCTTTGTAAAGGTACACAGGTGTATGGGATATGAAGCATGATGGGAAAGGGTATAAGATGCAGGCCAAAGGTGTACAAGGACATGCCAGGCAGGGCTTCAGCTCCAGAATGAGGGTGCAAGCTGCCAGGGGCCCGACCCAGCCAGGATAGCAGCTCTGTTGGCCTCTGCCTCCCTTACCCTCAAGAAGGTGTAGAGGCAGATGGACATCCAGTTAGTGAGCAACTTCTCCACCACAGTCTCTGTTCTAGGACAACAGGAGAGGGGCAGGTTGGTGCCAGCGTTCTCTAGGAGCAGATCCAGATCCAAGGGCCCACCCTAGCTCTTGGCTCTAGCTGTCCATTCTCCAAGCAGCCCCAATAGCCATACAGACCTGCGCAGCATCAGCTTGGGGTTTTTGGCCACATACTGGGCTACCAGGTCACTGAGCAGAGTGCGAAGGATGTCGGTGAAGTACTCAAGCTTCCCATGCAGGGCGACAGTGAGCAGAGATGCCACGTAGGCGCGGTCCCGTGCCGAGAAGGTGCGCTGACTCTCCAGCGTGTGTATGAACTGGGCCAGAAGAGATTGTGAGAGGCTGGGCTCAGAAACAACAGGACACAGAAAGATTAGGGTGAGAGCAGGGGTCCTGTTGCGGGCCGGTGCAGACCTTGGTGAGGAAAAGCTTGCTATTGAGCAGATTGGAGAGCTGTCCCAAGCCCTGCTCCACAGTAGGGCGCCTGTTCTCAGGCACACCAAGGTCCCGGTGCAAGGGTGACTCCCGGTAGCCAGGGAAGAAGACCCTTTCGGCATACACCTTGTAGTCAAGGAAGGGGATGCCACTGCCCAGGAGGTCACTGGTGAGATCAGTCATCTCGGTCATGAGGTCTGTTGAGCAGAAGAAGCCAGGCTCAAAGCCAGGTCCAGATGATGGGAGCAGTTCTGGGCTGAGCCCTAGAAACAGGGGCCCCTCTAGGAGCCTCACCTGTAAATTCCTTCTTACAGCGGTCCCTCACACTGCTCTCCAGATTCTCCAGCTGGATCTGAACCTTCTTATAGTCCCGCAGGGCCTGCTTGCTCTTCCTCCTGCTCAGCACCCAAGGTAGGAAAGAAAAGTCAAGAGTAGGCCAAAGCCCTTGCTAGTCCCATTTGGCCCAAACCTGCCTAACTCTGGGCCACATACACACTGACCTCATCTGGTACAGCTCAGCCAAGAGAAGGCCTGGCCCAAACTCAGCCTGCTCCATCCCAGAATACCACATCGACCAATCCCCATTTACCCAGCACAACTGCACCCATGCCAAACCAGGCCTATTATCTATTTCTATGAACAAAAACTGGTTAGAACACAGCCATGGAGGTCCAGGGTTGCAACTGATTAGCATGTAGTACTTATATAGAACACAGCCACGCTCACGTGTTCACATATTGTCCATGGCTGTTCTTATACATGACAGCAGAACTGAGGGGCTGTGAGAGAGACTCCTTTGCCTGCAAACCCCTAATCTGACCTTCAGAGAAAATGTTCACTACTCCTCCCCAAGCCAGTCCCATTCTGCCCAGCCCAGCCACATCTGCTGTTACCCACCTGTACATGAGGACAATGACGATGACACCCAGAGCCAGAAGAGAGGTGCCTACCCCTAAGCCGACCTGGGCTGCCACAGGAAAAGCCACAGGGCTCTCGCCGTCATACTGTACACGACCCAGGGAGAAGTGCAGGTTTCCCATCTGCACCTGTGTGGGGAGTACCTGTGAGTGAGGATTCAGCATACGTTCAACATCCAGCCCTGCCCAGGTCCAGCCCCCTGACCGTGAACTCAGGCAAGGAATCAGGTGCCTCTCGCAGCGCATGATGCCGGGGGAAGGGCTGCTCCATCGGGGGCTCACAGTACAGGTGGTACCGGGTCAGTGTCTTCACCACACAAGGGCCATCTCCTATCATGGCCACTACCTCCTCCTTGGACATGGCAAGGTCCAGATTCTCCCCCTGGAATGCAGAGCCATCAATATGCCAATCACAACCCTTTCCAAGGAGCTGGTGGTCACTCAGATCCCACCCTCCAAACTAGGGAAGGTTGGTCCTAAGGAGCAGGGTTGATAGGATCTCAGCACTGCTCCCCTAGACTGGGACCAATGGTCCTGGAGATGTTCACTGGATCGCTCCACATGATCCTGCTCTGATCCTCCCTCCCTTTCTTCTCCAGAGCTAAAAGTCTACAGAACATGACTCAAGTTCAAGGCCAAGACCCAAGGCCAGCCTGGGCAACTTAATGAGACCCTGTCTCAAACTTTTAAAAAGGGCTGGGGATGTAGCTCCGCACTCCCTAGATTCAATCCCCAGGTCCAGCAGTGGGGAGGGGACTAGAGAACCAAATCTTGCCAGTTACCTAACAAAACCAAAACCCTACTGAGTCAGGTGGTCCTCAAATAGTTAGAAGTCTATCTACCCAGTCCATTCTAGGGCCCACCTCTACCTACCACATGTGCCAGGACATATGACTCATGTCAAGCTACCACTTGGGGATCAGCCCGTTATCTGCTGTGCACCACACAGCCCACTCCTATGTGTGCCAAAATCACTTTGTTGTGTAGACTCCTATTTGTTGTGGCGTGTCAGGACCCAGGCCACCAAAGTCTTCCCGAGGCCCCCAGCCCTCGCTCCATCATCCTGGACTCTCTACTACAGGTACAGTGCTGTCCTGCACAACGAGCCTCGAGGCCCAGCCGAGGAGAAGCAGTACCTCCACAGAGAACACGCTCCCAGGCTTGTGCCGAAATGGTGCAGTGGGGTCCTCAGGGTTGAGAGGCTTCAGGATGGGATCAGCCTCATAAGAGAAGGGAGTGGGACTCAGTTTGTCAAAATCAAAGACCAAATTATCGAGGATAAATTCCACCCGGATGGAGGGGTCCTCAGGCAGGCCTGGGAGGGCAGGTGTGCGACACAGGATGAGCTGGGGAGAGCTCACGTTGCAAGGCTCCTCAAACTGGTGGAGGAAGACAGAAGTGTCAAGTAAGGAGCTTCGTGGGAAGGGGGCCATGCAAGGGGGTAAGCAGCCACTGCAGCAGTTGAAGGTGGGGCTGGCTCAGGGGGCGGGGGGCAGCCTCAAGCAGATGAGGAGGCCCAAGGTGGCTCACATGCTGACGGCCACAGGAGGGTCCAGGGGAGCACCCTGCCTCTGGGACTACACGGCGCCTGCGCTGAACAGGCGGCAGAGCTCTGAGGGCCACAGTCACTCGGATTCTTGGCATCTGCACCACATCCAGATTCTGGCCATGGACCCAGATCTCACGCCCACCACTGAAACACAGCACACAAACCATACAAGGTTTGCTACGACCAGGATCAAAAACACAGCCTGGTCCCAGCTAACTCAGCCCCACCCCAAACCACATGAACTTTTCTCCCTATCAGCAGCATGGAATTCGCAGCCCCCAACACAAAGCCCCGGACTCCCCCAGTACGAGAGCTGAAGGACCTCCCTGTCATATGCCACGCGTGCCTTTGGCCCCAACCTGAGAAAGCTTTTGGTGGGGCCAGCAGAGGTGACATTAGGGTCTGCTGTGTAACTAAACTGGCCATGCTGAAGCTTCCGCTCTGTGGCTCCAAACCACACAGTCACAGGAAGGGTGGCAGGCATGGGGTACGGGCTGGTCTCACAGCGCAGCTCTTCCAGCTGTGGCTCTGGCAGCCTGTGGAGGGAGGGGAGATTGGAAGGGAAATATGGGCACAGGATGGGGAACAAGGGAGCCACTCAGGCCTCTTTACTTCCCTTCCTTGCTGACTCAAGTCTCCACTACAGCCTGGCAGATGTGGACCTTGTCCTGCCCCCTCCATTCTCTCCCTGAGGCCCACAGACTTTCATAAGACAAGGAATCAGCCCTCACAGGTGACAGGGCTGGTCTCCAACTACCACACGAAGGTCCTCCAGGCGTCCTGTCAGGAGCTTGGAACCATTCACAATGAGGTAGGTTCCCCCAGCTCTGGGGCCTTGCTCTGGAGAAATGGAATACACCTTGGGGTCCTGTAGGAAGGAGAACAAAGAGACAGGTAAATGTCAGACTGGGGAAAAACAGAAAGGTTGGAGAATCCAAGACAGACAAGATGGCCCTGTGAAGGTGGCCTATTGGCAGCTGAGGGTGGCTCAGGGTGCAGGACTCAGGTACCTGGTAGGCAAAGTTGAGCTCTGAGACACCGCGTCCTCTTCCTGGCACTTCCACTGCCACAGTACCAGTCACTTCCTCTCCACTGGCCCCCGTGATGCACACAAGACTGTGTCAAGGCAGGCGAGGGGCTGTCAGATGGCACAGTACAGAGAGCCCCCCAAATGGCCCAGCAGCCCCATCCCCTCGCCCTCTTACAGTCAGTCAGGATCCTCTCTCAATTTGGAGGGATCTCCTATGGCACATGGCAGGACTTGGCATCTGAAAACATTCCTGGGGCCCCAGAGGCCTCCAGCAAGGAGGAATTATCCTTCTGTTGTGTCACACATTTGCAGAGGAGCCCTGAAAGGCTGACTGTGGGCAGACTAAGCTAATGAGTGACCTGCTCAACCACCACTTGCTAAGACACCCACTTGCTAAGTGGGAGACACATGAGTGAGTTCTTCTAGGAAAACACTGCCTAAAAGCCTCCCATCAGATCTGGAGACTGGTATGAACAATCCGAAAAAAAATGCTGGTTCGTAGCTAGAAAACAGGAGTCCGGGGCAAATTAATTCCAGAATGTGCAGTCTGCACTGGTTGGACTGTGACACTGTCACAGTCACTGAAAACACTAGAAACACAGCACAAGTAATGTGTGAGCCACCCAGGAAAAACTCCATCCAGAATACATTTTAACTGCTTTATAAATCACTTTTGTAAGTCTCATGGTTCTGGAATCATTAATAGTCACAGTTTCCTTAGGTCCTCAAGCATAACACGTTTTGCAAAAACCTTTATGTACTTGCAAAGCATTCACTTGTTTAAAATAAGTATTGTGGCCAGGCATGGTGGTGCATGCTTCTAATTCCAGCATTTGGAAGGCTGAAGCAGGAGGATTGCTACATAGTGAGTTCAAGGCCAGCCTGAACTACATAGCAAGATCCTGTCTCAAAATAAATTAATTAATTAAAATAAAAATTGTGATGCTAGGAACAGTAGTGCAAGCCTAATAATCACAGCACTTAGGGAGGATCACAAGTTCAAGTCCTACCTGGACAATTTAGTGAAACCTTGTCTCAAAATAAAGAAATACAAAGGGCTGGGGATGTAGCTCAGTGATAGAGTGCCCCTGGATTCAATCACCAGGACCACAAAAAAAATTTTTTAATAAAATAAAATACAGATTGTCCTGAACTGACATCTTCAGGACAGTGTAGTTAGGACACTGGTTGTTGGCTTTCCAGTTCACCTGACATTAAGTCAGGTTTGGGTGCTACTGCTTGGAGCCACCTCAAGTCCTGTGCATGCACCTTTGGGACCCTGCAACTGCTGACCAGGTCACTATCACCCAGAATAGCTCAGTAAACTGTGAGCCCCAGCACAGGAGCATCCAGACACTGGGCTCCCCAGGACAGAATGGGCTGGCTTTCTACAGGTGTGCCACGGCACAGAGCCTAACAGCCCAGGCAGGACACGCTTGGGAAGAGGGTCAGCTGGTGAGAAGGCCAGTCACAGAGGACACTGCTACCATAACTACAATCACAGTCACTCAGAAAGCCAGCCAAAACACCTAAATGGAGCCAGGAATCAACCTTGGGCAGCAACCGTGCCCCAAGTAAGCTCTGAAATGATCCCCAAGCAGCCCAAATCAGAAACCTACAGGTGGGTACAGGAGCCTGGATGGGTGTTCCAGGGCTTTGATGGCAACCCCCACACTGAGGCATTGGTAGCAGAATCAAGGAAAACAGGGGAGGGAAGGCAGAGGAGCAGGGAATAGGAAGCCCTAAAGGGCAGGCCACCCATGGAACCTATTCATGTTGGATCCAGCCAGCTCACCTGCTGGAGACTTCATAATCCTGGGCATCCACAGCACAGGGCACTCCAGCCACCCTGACCCTGTCCAGTACATCCTGAACATGCTGGCCCAGGTTGGAGCCCCTGATGGTGACGCGGGTACCTCCATCTATAGGTCCAGTCAGTGGTTCCACCTGTTTCAGGACAATGACCACTCACCTCTATCCACCTGCTGATGTCCTACAGCATGGAAAGGCAGCCCAAGCCTCCCCACTTTTGGTCCCTGGCATCCATGGTATAGCCACCCTCCAAGGACAGTAGTAAGGAAGGGACAAGCCAGCATTTCCACACACCGAGGAGATGAGAGGTGCAGGGCACTGGATGGCCACAGCCTCAGCCTTGCCACAGGCCTCCCTGGCCATGCAACGCGGATATTCTGCTTTGCACCACACACAGCCATATTGGGGCATAGCAGTCTGGCAACGGCTACAGTCTCCATGTCCAACAGAGCAGTCGTACAGTACCACTGGAGACAGCAGGAAAACATGTAAGAGGCAGGCCTAGAAAAGACCGGTTACCACCAGCCTGCAGCCTGCAGCTGCTCAGGGATCCATCCAGGGAGCTCACCGTGCAGCCCAACAGCACTGTCCACACGCAGGCGACCGGCCCAACGCAGAAACAGCTCCACCCGGAGCTCAGGCTGCAGGGCCTTATAGCTGAGCTGGAGAAGAGGGCATAGAATCAGCCTGGGGCTAGCAGAGGCATTAGGCCTTGGAGAGGCACTCACAGAAAGGACCAAAATGACTAGCTATCAGCACAGCATGAGAGGTCAGAGTTGGTGTGCAGGGATTCCAGGGGGTGAGCAGTGGGAGGTTAGAGGCAGAACTGGAATGGAGGGATTTGCTGGGATTCCAACTTAGAAGTCAGACTAAGTGGAAGCACCCATCCACTCTCCAGGGTCAAAGAGAGATGGGGACAGCGAGGCACAGCCAGCTACAGTGACTACCAGCCTGTGCCCCATCCAGGCTCCCATGGTCTGTACCTGGTGCTGTTGGCATGTGACATGGCACCAGGTATCTGGAGGCAGCTCACACTCAACCCGGGCCTTCACCACCACCTCAAGGCCCTCCAGCTGCATCACACACTCACTGTCTCCAGGGCTGCCCTGAGAACAGAGGATACCACCATTGGGGCAACTTCCAGAACTGGCCCCCAGAAACCTCCCAGGTCTTCAGCACAGCCTCTCTGCTGAGGATGAGACATGGGCCCATGTCCTCTAGCCACTCCCCAGGGATCTGAGAGTGTGTCACCATCCAAAGGGGCAGCAAAGACAGTTGCAACCAGGATATACACACCTGTAGGAGGTGCAGATTCCGGCCAAGCAAGCGGACCTCTCGTTCCACATGTACAGGCATCAGTGTAGAGCTCTGGACACTCTCCACACAGGGACAAGAGCTGGCCCTCCAATTCGCCTCTCCCTGTAGGTACCAAGAACAAAGCAGTCTGTGCAGCTCACCCTGCCCACCTCGGCTTCTGCCTTGCTGGGCTCTAGGAGCTGCCCCATGCACTTCCCCGTGGAGAATCCCGAAGTGAGAGGGCCTGTGTTTCCCCCAATCCCCTCCCAAGGCCTCTTCCCCGGGCTGGACCTCACCAGCTCCCAGAGCCCAGGGGTGTCGTACTGGTAGTCCAGGCTGGACAGGAGGATGAGGGGGGCGGGAGGGCCCTCGTGCTCTGCTGAGTCTCCATCACCTGAGAGGAGGGTGGAAGTGGAGAAGGCGGGCGCGTCACCCCCTGTCCACTCGTCTGCCTCGGGCAGCTCGCCGCCTTCTCTCATGAGCCAGTCCAAAGTGGGCTTCGTGGAGCCAGCGGCCCCTGGGAAAGTGGTGGCAGGAGCAGTGCCAGGGGGCTGATCCAGGGCCACCGTAGTGGGAAGGGCCTCAGGGTCAGGCTCTGCAGGGGACATTGCTGCTACTTCTGAGGGCGCCAGATGGGAGGTGGTCGAAAGATCCTCAGGTGTGGCCGAAGGTGAAGGTCCCAAGTCAGGGGGCACAGGGACAGAGTTTCCAGGGCTGGTAGGCAGGCTGGGCAGGAGAGGCTTCTCATGGAGAGAGGACTCCGTGGAGGTAGGGGAAGGGCTAGGGCTAGGACCTGCCCACGGCCCCCCAGGGCTGAGCAGGGAAGGCCTGACCCCAGGGGACACATCTGAGGTTGCAGTTGTGGAGGGAGCTCCAGGCTCCACAGGAATGGTGTATGGGGTAGCAGTGACCATGGCTTTGGGGGTTGTGGGTGGGAGAGGGCTGGGTGTGTCTCTTGCAAGAGGGGCTAGGGAGAAAAGGGGGCTCTGAAGGGGAGACAGAGAAAGACAGGAAGGGCCACTCAGCAGGCAAACAGAGGAGCAGGCAAAGGGTATGTTAAGAAGGAAGGAGACCAAGGAAAAGAGAAACAAAAACAACCCATTAATTCTCCAAAGGGGAAGCACAGGACTGGCTCCAGGGGTGTCTGTGCTGAGGTGAGGCAAAGGCCACACCTCCTGCCTGTTAGCTATAAATGTCCTCTCCCCAAACCAGCAGGACAGCTGCTCCCCAGTGAGTCCGTCCTACACAGAGGCTCAGGCACTCAGAACCGAGCCTCATGCATGCAGGGAGGCAGGCAGGCACACAGACCCCGGGCCAATCAGACATCCTCACACTGAGGACCCAAGCTCCCATGTACCCATCCCAGTGCCCACTCACCTGCAGGCTTAGCACCATCGGTCCAGCATCGCACGTGGCCTTGTGTGTGCACAGGTGCTGCCAGACACACCAGTTACAGCCCCAGCGGCTGCTCACGCAGGCCTGGCACCTGTACAGAGCACAGCCGTGAAGTGGGTGTCGCCAAGGGGAAGCCTAGAGCAGGGGCAGGGGAGGAACTCACGGTGCAGATGGGTGGAGTTCAGTAACTGCCACACAGTCATAGATGGAAAGGGACGCTTTGACAATCACCACGGTGCCAAACCTGAGCTCCACACTCATGGTTACGTGGTCTGCAAAGTTTGAGAGAAGGCCAAGACTAAGTATCGGCCAAGCACCAGAGCCACCACACAGAGACCAGGTAGAATGGGACTGGCACTTTGGACATGGGAGGAACCCAGAGTTGGGGAGACACCATTCACAGGGCAAGAAATGGGCACAATGCAGTGTTGCAGGCAGTGACAAGACTCAAAGAAAGCCGTCAACTAGCCAGGCATGGTAGCGCACACCTGCAATCCCAGCACTTGGCAAGGTAAGGCAAGAGATCACTGCAAGTCTGAGGTGACCCTGGACTACACGATGAGTTCAAGACCAAGCTGAACTACATAAGAGACCCTGTCCCCAAAACCAAAAAAGTCGTCAACTCGGGGTTCTTTGTCTAGATTTCATTTCATTCCAGTCACAGCCCTTACAGCCAGCTGGAAACAAACTAGTGCTCCCAGGTACAGGGATGGCCAATTCTTTCACCCACCAGCTCCTTTTGGCAGCACCGGGATCTCACTGGGATCTGGGGAAGTGCACATCACCCCAGAACCAGTCAGCAGGGCAGGACTCTGATGTTCTCCAAAGTGGCAAGAATATGACTCCCCTGGCCACAGAGGTGGCAGGTCTGGCACCAACAGGAAAACCTATCAAGAAAGCCCAGGACAAACTGGCCATCAAGCTACAGACCACAGATCAGGTTTATTCGATACCCAGTGTGGACAACACCAGCAGCGTCCAGCCCCCAAGCCTTCAAAAAAAAACCCTGGCCTGCATTAATAACAAAACTAAAGCCCAAAGAAGGACTACACGAGGCCACGGAGGATTTCATACACAGGACACAGAAATCCAAGTTTTCAGGTCATCTCCGGGACTTCCCTCACTGGGAAGTTCCCTCTCCTATCCCAGGCACTCACCTCCCTCTTCTCCTCTCGGCTGATGTTGGCCGGGCTCACGGCTGCCACTCGCAGACAGCCTGGCTCTGGCTGGAAGCTCCACAGCCACTGCTCTGTTTGCTGGCTCCTGGAGCACTCCAAACGGCGACTACACCTAATAAGAGTGATCAGTGTCTCTCCGTGACCCTTACAGGCCACTAGAATTCACAGGGCAGGGCTGCCTACAATCCCAAGGCCCTGTACAAAGCTCATATATAGGGGTGACAGTGGGCTCCTCGTCTGTCCTGTCTGCCAGGGACAGAGGATGGCAGGGGACTGGGAACATCCAGGGGTCAAGGGTTGTGAGTCAAGGACCAGAAGTGGGGAATCTTGGTTGACACAGTGACACAGGAGCATCAAGTACATGAGGCTGGGGAGATGGGGCCAGGAGCCAGCGGAGCACCAACCTGCCGAGAAGTACACACCACCCACAGTATGGGTCCCGGTGAGCAAGGCAAGACATGCAGTCCAGGTGCTGGGCACAGGAAGCCACAGGAACCTTCACAAGCTATGAAGCAGAGAGGACCCCGGACCAGCAATCCGAACACCACTCACCCATGTCTCTGGCCACCCAGAAGACCCTCCCACCAAGTCTCATCTTGGCTTAGGCCAGGCACTTACTGTGGTCTGGGTCATAACATAAAGGTGCTCAAATTTGCCATCGAAAGTGAGATCTCTGCTCACTGCAGAACCCCACTGGATTCTCTGTGTAGAATAGGAGTGGCCATCGCTCCCCGAGCCCAGGTACACCTGAGATCAGAGACCACAAGGTCTGGCCCCAAGTCCATGGCCATAGACCAGAGGCCTCCTCCACCAAAAACAGAAGCAATTTAAAGACAAGAACTTTTTTCTGGGAAGTCACAGGTCACAGCCAGCCCAGGGTGGGGCAGAGAACAGGTAAATACTTCCCAGCCCTGGGAAGAGCACAGGTCATCTTTCCCAGCCCAGGGATCCCGTTCCCTCCAAATACTAGGACAAGGACTAGTACTTCCTGGAGACTCACCCTATGCAGCTGACCTTGACTATCTCCTAGAAAAGCAATGGTGTGTCCATCCTCCAGGGTGACTGCCACTGCTGTTAGCTGAACCCCTGGCCACTCCAAAACTGGTGTGGCTTCCAAGGGGACACGGCTGGCCATGGGACTGGGTGTGTGGTCTGAGCCACAGGGAAAAGCATCCGGGGTGTCCTACAGGCAGAAGAAGCAGCGGGAAGGCCCTGTGTGAATTCCCTGGCTCCACGCCCCCTGACAGCCTCTCCCAGTTCTGTCTCCCAGCCAGCCCTCCTGATAACCCTGCCCTGGACAGCACCTCATAGGGCTGTATCCTCTGCCCTCCCTCAGTACACCTGTCTCCAGCTGCCTTGGGCAGCTTCCAGCAGCTTCTTTCCCTCTTGACCCCCACCTCAGTTTATAGCTCCATCTTCTCTGAGCCTCAGCCTTGAAGTGTGACCCCCATTTGCTATCCTCTGCCTTTTCCTGGGCCACTTTCCAAGCCTTACAGAGCTTTCTGGCTCCCCTCCCAACTCCCAGCCTGGGTCCTCTGCACTTTTTACTGGCTCCCTCCCTCTGCAAGCAGTTTCTTGCCCCTGTATTGGTCTTGAAGGTATAACCATGAAAGCCCCAACCAATCTTCCTCTCCTGCTCCAGAATATAAATAGTTTCATCCCAACACCTGCCCCTGCCCTAGCCCATCCCCACCTCTGCAAAACCTCCTCTTCAGCACCCCTGATCCAACCCTAACCCTCTTCAGTACCCTGGTCCAAACACCTCCTTGCACTGCTCTCTGCTACACTGAATGCTCTGTTTGTGGGAAGGTACCCTTCTACCACTCAGACCAAAAGAAGCCCCAATACCTGTTGACCTGACACCCCCACCCTTATCACCAGCTTCACATCAGGTTCCTTGGCAGCTGTTCAGCCCTTGCTACCTGGCCAGTAGCGTCAGACAAGGCAAAGGCCCCCCCATCAGAACTCACCACTGGCAGTTGGTCACAGGAGGAACTGACGTGATAAGCAATGTAAGCCACCTCAGTCTTGTCCTCAGCAAGGCCCTTCCGGGTGTAACAGGCATCTCGTGTGTGATTAGCAAGCCGGTCCACCTCATCCAGGGGGAAGGCACAGAGTGCAGAGGCTCTCGATGCCCCCGTAGCCGCAGAGGGTGGCTGGCCCACGGTGGGGGGTGCCGCTGAGGAGAAGGCTGCAAAGAGCACCTCCCCACCAGCCATCTCCCCAGATGTAGCCACAGCTGCAGCTTGGATCAGTTCATAGCGGTCCCCCTGGCAAGCCAGAGGCAATTCCACATAGGAGTAGTAATGCTGATCCCAAAGGCACACACGGGACACATAGGCGCGAAAGGCTCTAGATGGAGTCTTCAGGTCTCGCCGCACGAACAGGAAGTAGGCACTAGCCCCACGCATGAAGGCACTCACGAAGTGGTGACTGTACTCAGAGAGGTGGCCCACTGCCAGCTTGGCTGTCTCCTCATAGGAGAAGGCAGCTTGGGGGTCTAGTGGCCTCAGGGCCCGGGTTGTGATGGGCGGAATGCCACCTCCCACACCCCTGCTAGTATATCCCCGTCCCACAAACAGGAGAGGCTCCCCTGCCAAGCCCTGGGCCACCAGCCCCACCGTACTGACTGCAGGGTCATTGGCAGCCACGTACTGGGTGTCCCCAGGTCTCTCTGGCTGCAGCAGGAGTTGCCCAAGCTGCCCCAGGCGCCGCTGTTCACAGACACCCTGGTGTACACTCCCACACACCACCAGGGCACCTGGGCTCACAAGGAGCAGCTGGTTGGGATTGTCAGTAAGCTGGGCCTGGGGGCACTCATCACGCATCACGGGTGGTAAGCAATCTCTGCTGTCTAGCACGGGGCCTGTGGACACCACGGACTCCAGGTGTAGTTCAGGGCTCAGCTGGAACAGGAAGTTGGTGGCCCCCAGATAAAGGGTGCCAGAGGTGGGATCCCTTGCCAGGTGCTGCAGATGTGTGCCATTGGGAGTGAAAGCAGCTGGTGGAAGGGGCTGGAGGGCAAGGACCCACCCAGCCCAGAGCGCCTGGAGAAGAGCTGAGCCAAGAGCAGGCATGGTCACCTGGCAAGGAAAGAGATCAAGTGGAGCTCATGTGGTCTCCAGAATACCGAGGTCACTGGTAAAGGACAAGTCTGTGCCATTGCCAAGATGCCCCTCCTAACCTTGGGCTAAACAAGAGGTCCAGGCCCAAATGGACCCTACAGTCCAGGATGCCCGCAGGCTCACATTCCACCCAGGAAAGAGGAAACTTCAGCACAAGCCCCTCTTACAGGGCCTACACTCTGAGGAGACCTGCAGCCCTGCTTCCCTCCCCTCCCTCACCCCATACTACCTAGCACCACCACACAGATCAGGAGCAGAGCCTGGAAGGGACAAAAGTGCATGGAAGGGGAAGGAAGAGCCTAGAATCCCAAGAGGGAGATGTCCCTCTGCATGGAGGGCAGTTTCCTGGCCAGGAGAAGGGAAAATGAGGTCTCAGGAGCCACCAGATGTCAGAAGATGTCAGACACAGGCAAGAACTGGGCGCAGAGCCTTTTAAGCCAGGAACCAAGAAAGATAACAACCACAGAAACACCAGACCAAAGAAAAATGGGAGGCCCAGGCTGGGAGGGGAGGGGGCTGAAACATTGCACCCCACCTTGGGGAGCCCTGGGCAGAGGAGGGAGTCACATTGCTACCATTTGCCCAGGAGTAAGGTTTGACTCACCTGGCACGGCCAGCTAGATCAGGGGACAACGGCATGACCTGAGCAGGAGTCACCTAGCCAGAGGGAAAGCAGGATGTAAAACTGGGGGCTGGGCGAGAGGCATGGCTCTCCACCATGGAAGCAGCACAAAAGTACCCCTCCCCACTGCCCAGCCTGTCCGTGCAGCCAGGCCTGGCCTGGCCCTCAGCCACCAAACACATTCCACAGAGGACGCCTCCTTGGAGTCCACATGGGGAGGGGGAAGGACAGCAGACAGAGCCAGGCACCCATGGGGCCTGGGAAAGGTCAGCTAGGAAGAAGCCCTCTGGCCAGCAGGGCCCAGTCAGGCCCTTAGCACAGCCCTAAGAACTCTTCCCTCTCAGCACCTGCAGTGACCTGCCTCCAGCTCACACTCTGCCCTGTCCAGTCACCCACAGACATTCCCTCCAGAGACTAGGCTGGTCATCCTGGCCAAATGGGCAACTGCACACTGGCAGAGGCACACATAACACATCTACACAAGGTGTATACACACACCCACTCACAAACACAAGAGAGCTTGCATACACTGTACAAATGTACACAGATATGATCTGTATACACCACAGACACAGAAACACAAACATACCTATATTCCACATAATGACCTATTCCTATGGAAACAGTCCCTTCGTGCACCATTAGCACATTAGAAAAACACACACAAATGTCACAACACACTCACCAGAGACGTAACGCACGACCGTCCACATTTAGACACCAGACTCACACACACTTCCTAGTCCCAACACCAGGTCCTAGAGAGCTGGGGAAGGCTGGCCTTCTTTTTGATATTTCCTTTCCTGAAAATCAGAGTAGAGACAGGAATCGGTGTGTGGGTTTAGTGGAGGGTGTCCTGAGGAAGTCATTATGTGTGGCTCTCCCCCAACCTCATGTCCTCCCGCACAGACCTCCCCAGACTTTGAGTGCTGCCCAACCAAAGTTCTTAAGTTCCAGAACTAAGAAGCACCACCTTCCCCAGACTCCAGTGGTCCCCCACCAGCAGCAGCAAAGTTCTGAGGTGCTAGGACAAACCATGCATCCCAGACTGGGAGACACTTTCCCTACTTGGATGTGCCCAGGCCATGCTGTCCAGCCCCTCCCATCACCCAGCTGCTAGGCTTCCCTCCTCCCAGGTGAACTCATCCCAACAGAGCCTCAGCAGGTTGCTCCTAAAACTGCCCCAGTGAGCAGGGCTGGGCAAAAGGCTCAGAGAAGGCTCCAGCAGCCTGGTGAAGCAGGCATACTGTGGAGCAGGGGCCATGGCCACAGCCTAGCTGGGCACTGCTCCCAAAATAGCTTGGGGGTTTCCATTTTTAGTGTGCAGAGAACAGGGCAGCTCTATGGGAGCGGGAACAAGGCTGCCTCTGTTTGTCACCCAAGGGGGTGGGAGGAAGGAGGTGTCAGGGAAAGTCTCGAACCCAGCCAGAAGCCCAGGACTATGGCGAAGCTAGGCTGCCCAGGAGCCCCCCACCTTGTTTCCAAGAACTGGAGAAAGCTTCTTCCTCTGGGAAAACAAGGTCCACCTGAGGACAGGCAGAGGCCACCTCCTCCAGTTGGCTGCTGCCCACTTCTCCTGCCCCCTCATACTAGGGATGTGCCTTGGGCATAGGGTCCCACAGTTAGACTGCCATTCACTGTTTAATTTGCTTGCAAATATTTGCTCAGAGTCCACTGCATGCCAAGGTTCTCCAGCCCTCAAGGGGCAGCAACAAAACCACTCCCTGAATGTGAAATCACAGCTGCATTGGGGACCCATAGGAAGAAATGTTCAGGACCAGAGTCCCTGGCCAGGGCACACAGGAAATCAGAGGCTGAACCACTCCAGGAAATTACACCAGGTTTCGGCTGCAGTCCTCCTGTGAAGCACAACCTAGCACTCCTTCCTTTTTCCCTATAAACCAGGGGCAGGAGGAGTCCAAAGGACACTGACATTTTCTCCTCTGTGCTGGACACATGTATCTCATTTAACCACTGCCATCTCACACAGCAGCTCCAAGCCTTCCAACACACACACACACACACACACACACACACACACACACAAACTCTCTCTCTCTCTCTGTATTTTCACTGAGCAGAAATGAAGTGCATCCCTTCTTCTGGGAACTTTGGGGTCCCTTGGGCCTGAGGAATAAAGGTCAGGCCCTCTTGTCCACATCCTCCTACATGCATGCTTTTCGTTCCTGCCTGAAGGAAGGCTGTTCCACTCCTCCCATCACAAGCAAGGGCTGTTCCCACTGCCTGGAAAGTCCCATCTTGCTCTATCCTATTTACCCCCACACCCAGCCATCACCTCACTAGGAGACTTCCCCACCCTGCCTGCTCTGGAGGCACCTGTGTGGTGGACAGAACTGACACACCTCGCTCCGGAATGGTACACACTGCCCTGCCAGCAGGGTGTATGCTGTCATTAGTGGCACCACCCAAAACCATTTGGGAGGACCCTTTTCCATCCTCAGTCTGGACTCAAAGCTCTTTAAATGCAGGGAGCATGATTCCTAGGCCCAGTAACTGCCACAGCCATCAGCACTGAGGAGGTACTCCAGGCATGGCAAATAAGTTCCCATTTCATTTCCAAGGAAACCTCACTGGTAGAAGAGGCAGGGTCTTACTCGCCTGGCCACTTGGCCCCTCAAGGGAAGGCCTTACCCCTGCTTTTGTGAACCACCAGGACAGAGCAGACTGAAAGGGCCGATTGGGAGCAAAGCCTCACCGTCCCCAACTTGCACAGCCAGGACCTCCTGCGCCTCCCCACATCTTAGGCCCTGCCGAGGCTCACAGCCAAAGCCCAACTCTAACTCTGCCCATGCCCAGGCCTGCCGGGTGGGCCTGTCCTGGGCCAATCTGTCTTCTCTAAGCCTCTTCGGCACTGCCCACGACTGCCTGGCCTCTGTCTGCAGACAGCAAGCATCCACCAACCCTCCTGAAGCTGTCCTCAACCACCGAACAGGCTCACAAACTAGCCTTTACACATCTGCACCCTTCTGGGAGCCGGTGGGCAACTGGCCTCCTTTCACCCCTCCCTACCCCGCTCGGCTAGGGCGGGGTACACATTGATAGCGCCGGTGCACACGGCCCACCCCGCTGTCTTCGCACTGAGCCGGGTGGAGGCAGCCCATGGCCCAGGCACTCAGCAGTCACCAGTCAAATGGACTGTGTGGAGTGGGGACACCGCCGGGTGCCTAAGGCTCTGCTCCGCCTTTGTCGGTCCCGCCGAGCGCAGCCAGCCGGGGCTGTGACTTTAGGGGGTAGCCTCAACCTCCCCACGCGGCCCTGTCCGACGCCCGGCCTCTCCGCCCCGGGGCGAGGACTCCACCGGCATCCGCGGAGGGCGGGGAAGAGGCCGGCCGGTCCCGGCGACGGCAGGCGAGGAAGGGGCGCGAGGAGCGGCTCCACCTCCTCTGTCTCCCAATCGCGTTCCGGGCGGAGCCGCCAGAGTTCGCCTCGCGTGCACGAGAACGGTCCCGACTCCTGCGCCGAGGCCGCCCAGCCCGCCCGGCCGCTTGGCCTGCTCACCTCGCGGCTCCTCGGGCTCTGCGCGCGGCGGCCTCCGGGCGGCTCTGGCGGACCGCGGCTGTTACCCGGAGACCGAGGGCGGAAAACCGCGCCCGCGCCCGCGCCCGCCCCTCCTGCCGCGGCGCTGCCACCGCCGGGAACAAAGGAGACAAAGCGCGTCGCCGGCCGGGCTCCGCGCCTGCCCCCCGCCGGCCGCCCTCCCCGCCACGGGACGGGCCGGAAGCGCGGGGAGCGGGCGCGCGGCCTCGACCCCCCGAACCCGCAGCGGGGCCGAGCCGGACGAGGCCGGGGTAGGGCCTCCCGTGCGGGCTGCCCCCGAGGCGGCGCGGGCCAGAGGCTCCCCACCTGCGCCGGCGCGGAGCCGGAATTGAGCGCGCCAGGCGCGCGGCAGCCCAGGTGCTGCAGCTCAGCGCCCTCACCTGCCCGGCCTCTCCGCCAGCCGCGCCGCCCCGCCCCGCCCCGCCCCAGCCGTTCCCTCCCTCGCCGTCCCGCTCTTGGAGGCGCTTCCCTTTCCGTACCTGAGCCCCTCCGCGCGGTCCTCCCCTGTGCTTTACCTGGATCTGCCTACCGCGCCTTCTCCTTGGATTCCCCATTAGCCAGCCTCTCCTTCCGGTCCCCACCCCCTGCCCTCTGAGGAGAGCCCGAGCTGGGGACCTGGGTGTGCGCCATGCCGAAGCCGTGTAACCCGACACTCCACTCCCTGGCCTGTTTGCTCACTGGCAGGTGGGGTGATACCACCCTTAGCCGGGCTGCCAAGATGCACCAGCAAGGGCTCATTTCCTGCCTCTCATCCCGGGCAAGTACCGGGACCCATCCGGAGCTGAGACGCTATGGGCAAGCCTAGACTTTCTCACCGCAAACTCCTGCGCCTTCCCGAGGAGGAAAGTGGACAGAAGGGTTCTCTCCTGAAGCCCATCTGGCCTAACTCCAGACACAGGCACAGATTCCAGGGAGCCAAAATCAGCCCCACCACCACCAACACCCAGAGCCTCCAGGGCCTCCCCAGGACATTGGCTAGTCTTCCACACTGGCCACTGTTCTAAACACCAGACCCCTCTCCCTAGCTCCTCTCACAGGTTCTCCATTTGTCTGCCTTTCAAATTCTCCCCTACTTGCACTTGCAGCACCTGAGTCCAGGCACCCAGCATGGCAACCGCTTCCCAATTCTTTCTCAAACTGGCACCCCAACTTTTCTGTTCCAGTCTCTGACCCCATGATTCACACTCCACACACACCCATCCCCAGCTTAGCCAGGATAGTCTGCCCCCAATTCCCTCATCCCTTTGGCTTTCCTGCCTCTGCAGGATGTTGGAGCCCGTTTTGTGTGCCTAGAACCCTCCCCCAAAGGCAATCACAATCCCGGGAGAAGTGAACTCACCCCACAGCTCTCCTCCTACCTCGTGGGTATGAGACAAGGTCTCTCCATGCAATTCAGGCTGGCCTTGAACTCACTTTGTAACCCAGTTTGGCCTTGAATTTGGAACAATCCTCCCACCTCAGCCTTCCAAGTGCTGGGATTAGAGTCATGGGTCACCACACCTAGCTAAACACTCTTACATGAAGTTTCTCCATCCCATGCCATGGTGGGGAACTGCCACATGCCAAGATGAAGTGACCAGAGACCTGGGTGCTCAGAGGGTCAGAGAACCCAGGGGGGATGTGAGTTTAGGACTGAGCTCAGGCTGCAAGGAAAATACTGTGGCCTCTTATGAGGCTTAGCATAGGCACAGACCAACAGATCCCTACGGATATAATTTAATGCAGCGGCAGTGTACCCTAGAAGGGCACTAGTAGGCTTCTCTGTGTGCCAGACCTCCAAAGCAAGGACAAAGTACCACTTCATAGCTCCTGTTGACACAAGGCCACCCACACTATTGAGACAGAGAGGTGAAGGGTCACTGTTCCACTATGAAAAGGGAGAGGTCAGGGTTTTCAGGGGACTTCCTCTCCATGCCTCATCGCACCCCAATCTTTTGGAGCACCTCCCAAACTTAACTGTTTCTTATTCACACTGGTGGTGGTCTAAGATTTACCCACCCCTACTGTGGGTCCCTCCCAGGGTATGTATGGGGAAAGCACTGTGCTGCCCAAAGCACACTGCACCAAGGACCCAAACTGGCTAGCAATCACTGTGACAATGTCCCCAACATTATCAACCATTCCTCTAATCTCTTTCCTGTTCTCCTCCTGCTAGAAACAGGAGGTTCTCCCCAGACACACATACCCCATGACACAGAAAGCAAAACAGCAACCTAGGTTTCACTCACTGGATCCCCAAGGCCATCTAACAGAAAGGTGTGAAAGCAGAGGGCAGGCCAGGAAATTCAAAACAAAAATTCAGGCCTCTGCAGTGAGCACATCCAAACCAGCTCCAGCTGGACTGAGACAGAAAGAGAGAAACTAGAGGGGGTGATTTCTGTCTCTCCAGGACCAACTCCTGACTCCCAGATCTCTGTTTTCAATGGACAAAACTCAGTCTCATGTAACTTATTTTAAAGAGTACAAACTCTTGAGCCGGGCGTGGTGGCTCACGCCTATAATTCCAGCACTCGGGAGGCTGAGGCAGGAGGATCGTTGCAAGTTCTACAAAGTGAACTCAAGGCCAGCCTGAACTGCATAGCGAGACCCTATCTCAAAAAGACAAAAAGAAAAAAAAATTTTTTAAATAAAAAGAGTACAAACTCTAAGACATTTTAATAGACATCAACATAAAGTTTTCATAATTAGGGTGAACAAGCATTGCCTGTAAAGCAAAGGATGCCTGCTGTGAGGCACATAAATGGTGCTGATGTTGTGTGTACACCCCAAGAGTCAATGCATCGCTGGGATTCACTAACAAAAGCCACATTCACCCCATAGGCCCTGTGGGGAGCAGGTCCAAAGGGCTAGCTGGCCTTGAATAGCATGTAGAGAACAGGCAGTGTGGCCACAAATGTCACACAAATGACCAGTGTGCTGTAGATGGTGTTCCTATTCACTTGGGCTTCCAGCTTCTGTTCTGTGTTGGACAGGGCCACCATCATGCTCCCCTGTGCCAGCAAGGAGCTGGGCAGAGACCTGTCTGCTGGCTCTCCCGGGCCTGGGTGTGCTGCAGCCTCTGCAAGCTGAATCACTCCAACCATCTGACTACAAGTTTTATCCAGAACATCAAGCTGCTTTTGTAAGCCTTCTAGACAGGAATGGACCTGCTGGGAATGACTGAGCTGCTCTTGTAAAGCAGATGAAAGGATATCTATGTCTCTCTCTCTGGTAGGGGAAATACCTGCTGGTGACCCAGAGCCCTGGCCCTGCCCAGCATGCACCAGCCCCTTCAGGTCCACCATGAGGTCACGGAGGTCCCTCTGCTGGAGGGAGTAACTAGCTGCCTGTTCATGGATGGCCTCCTGGAGACTCAGTGGCCCCTTCTGTGCCTCCAGGAGTAAGGCCTTCAGTTCCTGTAGTCGTACACGATTCACATAGGTGGAGCCAGCCACACCAATGAGGGCTCCCAGGACTGATCCAATAAGCGACCAGTTCTTAGTTCTTTCAGCCCTGGCACGTTCCTTCTCGTGACTTTCCCGCACTGCTGCAGAAAAGAGAGAGAATTTCTCACGCTCAGAGTCTTCTGCACGCTCATAGGCCACTCGGAGCCTCTTCTCCTCCTGCAAAAGCAAAGCAATATCACACAGCAGCAGAGGATTCTGTGGCTACAGCCACAAGCGTATGGGCCATTCCCCTGACCTTGGCCCCGCCAACACCTGCTGCATAGATAAAGGCAGTGTACACCTTGGAGAGTGCTGTGGAGTGAGCAGCTTCATCTGCACACCAGGCAGTCTTGGTTAGGCTGAGCATGCCCTGATATTCTCAGAGTGTGACACACATATGCTGCCTGGGCCTGAGTGTGCTGCTCCATTGGTACTCTATTCTTGTAATGTAGGTCCCAGACTTGCAATCTAGTGGGTGCTCAGGCTGTGGAAGTTGGGGGTCCTTTCCATTCATAGGAGCTTTCTAGTTTATCTGCTCTCCAGACCTCTCACTATCAGGACATTCAGGACTCTGACCTGGCCCTACACAATCAGCCAGGCTATCTGGAACCTGTTCAGAGGACACAGGGCTGCCTCCCAAGGGACCTACCTGCAGCATCCTGTGCTCCAGAGTAGCCAACTCTAGGTACTGGTTGTCCTCCCTGGAGACACGGTCCAAGCGGTCCCTCACCTCCTTCAGCTTGGCCTGCTGAACTTCCAAGTCCTCCCGAGCCTCTCGAACAAGCCCACGAGCCACCATGAACATTTTCTCTGCCTGCAGAGAGGATAGCAGAGGCTGTCAAACCCTTCTGACCAAGCAAGCTCTGTTCCCAAAAAGGCAGTGGCTAAGAAAAGGTCAGTGGGGTGTCAGCTGCAAAGAGCAGAAACAGTCCCTGAGATGCTAATCCTGGCTCATTCAAAGTGCCAGCCCCAGGCCATGCCCACTGGAAGCACTGGATTTGTGCATTCAGGCAGAAATAATATGCCCCTGAGAAACTTGAAAACAGCCAACAATGCATACAATCTGTATTCACTAAACCCAGCCAACTCTTCTGTGATATAAACCACAGGAAAGAAGCCATGTGCTTTACACTCTTTCCCAAGTGTTCCCTTCCTTATGCTTCACAACACCATCAAAGGCATTGACATGGTTTATAAACCCGGAAACCCCAGGTCGGCCAAACTTACAATGTCCAAGGAGAAAGAGAACGTGATTCAAACCCCTCAGAAGGACCCCTGGTTCTCCTTCCCTCACTATGCTGCTCTGTGCCTAAGCAAGAGTAAGAACAGAGTTGAACAGAAGGCATTTCTGCTGCCATGAAGTGCTTAAACACGGGCAACTCTATCTCCCCATGTCCTCCACCTTTACACAGTAAGACAGCAGCTCTCACCACCAGTCCCATCCCTACCCAACCCCAGGTGGTAAGGACTGTTTACTAGTATAATTGCATTAGTGGCTCGGGATTGGCTGATATACAGTGACTATTTTGAGGGAGCACTGGAGATACACAGACCTTCACACCAACAGTGGAGTCCAATTCCTCACATGATATTTATTTAGGGATTTAGCTCAGCAGCACAGCACCTGCCTGGCAAGTTCGAGGTCATGAGTTCGATCCCCCATTACAGAAAAAAAAAATAGCACATGTGGATGACAGTTATCAGCATCCTACAGCTGGTGACTGAGTTAGCAAGGGTCAGTGAGCCCCATTTCCTAGGTCCAATCTCCCAGGTTCCCTCCTCACCTCAGTCACATTTCCCTGGGCCTCTCGAACTTCGATGAGCCCCACAAACTCTTCATATCTGTCCCACCAAATCTTGGCCGTGGAGGCAACTTGCTGCCGAATGCTCTGCCCCAGGGCTCTCCCCAGAGCTGGGAGGCGATGATACAGGACTGCCTCCTCAGGGCGCTTCTCTCCAGACTGGCTAGGGCCCGGGCTGCAGAGAGTCCTGGCTATAACAAGGTCGGTTCCAAGGAGGCCTCTCCGCACCAGTAAGTGGTGTACACCCACAATGTGCTGCATGGCAAATGTAGGGCCGCAGCCCGTCATCAGGAGACCTGTGAGGGGACGCCAAACAGATCAGCACACCGCGGGAAAGCTGGACACAAGTCAGGTCTACATTTAGTTTCGAACAAATTAATCTCCACTACAGTCATCAAAAGCAAGCCCCACTCTATTCAGCCCAGAGACCTATGACAAAGAGATGATCAGACTCCACCTGCCTCCTGGACAATGGAACGCATACAGGAAGAGCTGACGTGGGGCATCATACCTTCCCTTCCCTCCACAATACCACACAAACCGGGCTGTCCCACCTCTGTGCCTCCCCGGGATCCTTTACAGTGACCTAGATGAGAATCCTGGCGCCCAGTTTTCTGATGTCGAAGAAATTTCTCAAACCAGTTGTGTCCATGCTCACAAAGTCCCATAAAAATTCATAAAGACTCCTGGGAAGTGACAACAGTATCACTGCTATAACATCCCTGATTCCCTGAGGCCCTACAGACACAGGTTATTTAATACCTAAAAAAAAAACTCTGCTCTCCCAAAAGAGAGGACAATTCCAGGGAAAGGAAAGAATCTGTTTTCTCCACAGAGGACAGCTTTTCCTAGCTTCACAACAGCCCTTCTCCTGCCCTCCAATCCATCCCTCCTCCTGGAGCCCAGGAGCCAGGGTCACATTCTCCAATTTCTGCAAAATCCACCCCTATCCCCACCCCTCAACCTCAGCAGCACCATGTGAAGATCAGGCTTCTCTTTCAGCCTTACTTTGATGTTTGGCCCCTAATAACACCTTCTCTGGGTGACCTGGAGGGCCAAAGAGAGGGCTAAATTAGTCACATTCCCAAGAAAAAAATAGCACCTCCCCTCTAGTGCAACCTGACCCCACCCACCCGCCACGGGGACTGATTCCAATTGTCAGAGCGACACCTGGTGGCCAACAGAGAAAAACAGAGGGACCTGTGGACAAGGGGTGGGGGCTAGGGGCTAGGGGCTAGGGGCAGAACAAAGAGCTTCAAATTGGTAGGGTGAACAGAGACCCACAGTACCCCGGCCTCCTTCTCCTCCTCTGTGGAGAGGCTCCAGCTACCTTGAAAACAAAAACTAGGTGGGAAGGGACATGCCTTCTGGTCAAAATGGGCCCCAGATGAATGCCAGTCTCTGTGACAGGGGCCCCAAACTGCTGTTCACCCGTCATCTGTCCTCCTTCCTAAGGCTGCAGACCTCACCCAGAGATCACACAGCATTCACACTGCGGTGGGGAAGCAAGCTGCCCTCACCTCAGAGCCAGGACCGGGACACACAGGCCCAGCCCCCCAACAGCCTGCAGGCTGAGCCCCCCAGCAAGAGCACCCAGTCTCCTGCCCAGTGACACCCAGTAGGGAGGCTTCAGCACTTTTCTGTCACCCAGCTTCTTCAACTCCCTTCTCTTCCAAACCTGTTCCATAATCAAAGCTGCCCTCGTGGAGGCCCTTCAAAATTTCCACTTTGTTAGGTTCAGACTTCTGCTTCCAGATTTCTTCTCCAGTCTTTCTGTAGGTACACTCCTCCTGCCAACTCTCAGCTTCCTCCAATCTTCCCAGTCTCTTTTTCTGATTTCTCTTCTGCTAGCATCCCACTCTTGGACCCTAAAAGGCCCAGCCACCCCTGGTAGAGATGACAGTTATAACCTCCTATGCAATCTTGGCTTCCCCTGCCCTTCCCAGCCCATTCTCCAGCCTGAGAATCTGTTAACTGATGAGTCAGACCACACCCCTCTCATCAAAACCCCTCAGATCCGGGCTGGGGATTTAGCTCATCGGCATAAGCTCCTGCCTTGCAAGCAGGCAGTCGTGAGTTCCCGGTACCGATAAAAAGGAAAAAAGACCAAAAAAAACCCCTTAGATCTCCTGGCATTAACTAGCTTCAGGCCTGGAAGTCACCCACAAGCCCAGCAACTCTCAGCCCTAACCAACCCGTTTCCCTTTCTCCAGTACAGTACTCTGCTCCACCCAGCCACCCAGACATGCTAAGCATGATCCTGTCACATGGCCTCCCACCTCCCCCACTTAGACCACTCTTTCGGAACAAGTCTACACAGCTCACCTTGACATCTATGTCTTTGCTCAAATGCTACCTTTTAATAAGGCCTTCCTTGGCCACTCTATCCCTGGCCACCTTTCTGCTTCATTTTTCTCCACCTGACACTTATTTCCTAGTAAAAAAGCTTGGTGACCTACAGGGGCCCTATAAACAAATGTGTCAGTAACCCCCAAGTTACTTCTCCACGCTAGTCCCTCCTCTCACCTCCCCCATGCCAGCCCCTGTCCTGTCCTCTCCTATCACTCAGCTATTCATGTAGGGCCCCCTTCACAACTGCCTCATTTCTCTGCTTCGTATTTGTTTGTTTTATTTTGTTTTGTCTTTTTGCTTTTTATCGGTACCGGGGATCGAACTCACAACTGCCTGCTTGCAAGGCAGGCGCTTATGCCGCTGAGCTAAATCCCCAGCCCCCTGTTTGTTTTGTTTTTGAGGCAGGGTCTCACTCTGTAGCCCAGGCTGGCTTCAAACTCCTAGCGATCTTTTTGCCTCAAGCTCTCAAGTGCTGAGATTATAGGCATGCGTACCACCATGCCTCAGTGGAAAGCCCAGCTTCTTTGCTCCTCTTAAGCATCAGACACCCTGACAGACTGCCCACCTGAGTCAGTCTCCAGGGCCTCTCCTTCCACTGTCTCACACGCCCTGTGTGCTCTGGCCATCATTCCCATCATGCTGGAACAGCTCCTCTCCAGGGCACCTCCACACTGCTAAATCCCAACAGCCAGTTCTCAGTCCTAATCTCACTCTGTCAGCAACCTGTGCCTCACTGTAGCTCCCTTTCCCTCAAATACCATTCTCACTACATGTTCTCGCTCATCTCCCAACCTCCAGAAACTCTCACACCCAAATGTTCAGTGCACAGACTCCTCATGCATACAGTTTTCTGCTTTTATTTTTATTTATTTATTTATTTATTTATTTATTTATTTATTTTTTGGTCTTTTTCCTTTTTATCGGTACCAGAGATCGAACTCATGACTGCCTGCTTGCAAGACAGGCGCTTATGCCACTGAGCTAAATCCCCAGCCCCCAGTTTTCTGCTTTTAAAACTGCTACCGATAAAAAAGGAAAAAGACAAAAAAAAAAAAAAAAAAAAAAAAAAAAAAAAAAAACTGCTACTGGAAAGCTGAGCTCTTGGCACACGCCTGTAATCCCAGCACTCAGAAGGCTGAGACCAGCCTGGGTTACAAAATGAGATCAAGGCCAGCCTGAACTGCACAGTAAGACCTTGTCTCAAAAGACCAAAAAAATGCTTTAAGAGCAAAGCATGGTAGCTCTAACCTATAATCCAGCATTTGAGAGCCTAAGGCAAAAAAAAAATTGTAAGTTTAAGGTCAGCCTAAGTTACATAGTGAGTTTAAGGCCACCCTTGAACACTGTCAGACCCTGTCTGAAAGTGAGTAAATTCATTAATGTAATTACAGTATGAGTCTGGAGGTATAGTTCAATGGCAGAGCATTTGGCCAGCATGCACAAGACCCTGGCTTTGATCTGCACCACAGCAAACAAAAACTATACTTTTGACTTTTCTGACCTGGGATTTTCAGGACTCCAGGTTCAAGTTATTGAACTGTCCAACCTATATCTCTGCTTAAAAATACTGGAATCTCATCTTTACCTCACAAACCTGCTTCTCCCCCAGCTTTCTCAATTCTGGGTGATGGCAACCCCAAGACCAAATTCTCAGGTCAAAAACTTCACATCATCCCTAACTTTTCACTGTTCTTCTACTTCACATCCAACCTATCAGCAAATGCCCACTGGCTTCCTGTTTTTAGTATCGATGCTGCTGTAGGGAGTATGCCCCACTGGCTTCCTAAACCCATGCAGAGTTCTTCCTATCTCTGTGTGCCACCAAAAGGTCCCAATGACCAAAATTCCTTACCTGCATCCCAAGAGTCTCCTAACAGGTCTTGCTGTCAACAGGGCAGTCATGGATCCTTTCAAAACCCAGGTGAGATCACAACTCTCTCTGGTCAAACCCAGCAACAGTCCCCCCATTTCTTTCAAGAAAAAGCCAAAGTCTTTTCAGTGACTGAAAGGGGATGCACTGCCTTGCTCTCATTCCTCTGAACAGTCACACAGACCACCTGGGTGGCAGAACACTTTAAACCATTGATGGTGAACCTTTTAGAACTTTCAACAATAACAGCTGGCTGAGGCATGAATGCCATAGGCCCGCCACCACTGGTGAGGTTCACTCCATCTTAGGCCCTTGGCACCAGCAGCAGCTCACTCTTCTGCTTGATCCCAGACTCTCCTCACCCCTCACTTCCACCTCAGCCTTCTTTTTATTTACTTATTTTTGGGTTTTTTGGGTGAAGATATATAGATATATAGATCAGGAATATATATATATATATATATATATATATATAAAGAATCAAACTCAGGACCTTTCACTTGTCAGACTGGCGCTGTTCAGTCTTCTTTTTAAATTCTATTCAAATGGCACCTCCTGAGATCTTTCCTGAATACACTATCAGAAATTTATCAGAAATTGCCATTCTAGCCAGGCATTGTGACACACACTTGTTATCTCAGCACTCTGAAAAGGAGTCTCAAAAAATAAATTAAAAAATAAAAATAAAAGCCAGGCATGATGGTGCTCACCCGTTAATACTAGCACTGGGGAGGTTGAGGCAGGAGGACCTCCGCTAGTTGGAAGCTAGCCTGGGCCCCACAATAAGTTTAAGGCCAGCCTGAACTAAAGTTTCTCACTGTCTCATTTTATAATTCTCAAAAAAAAAAAAAAAAAAAAAGAGTTGGGGCTGTAGCTCAGTGCAAAGGCTCAATCCCCATTTTGGAAAAAAAAAAAAAAGAAAGACAAAATTGCCATCCCACCCCAACAAGGCACCCCTTACTTTCCCTGCTTCATTTGCTACAGTCTGTCTCACTCCCTACAATATTAACTCTGCCAGGACAGAAAGTTTTGCTCACAGCTTTATCTCCAGTGCCTAGAAAGCGAACTACAAAGAATACACGCCCCACAAAAATATATTGGATAAATACACAGAATTCGCAGTCATCTGCTTATTTTATGAAACCCAAACTCCCTCGGGGGCTGCCGGAGCGCTAGGAAAACAGGATTCAGGTCCCGCCCACGGCTACCTTCACCCAGCCTGGGTGCCATCAGGTAACAGGGACGCAACTTTTTGCGCGCCCTCCGCGGTTCCAGATGCCCAGTGCAAAGACCCTCCGTCTTACCTGGCTGGCCAGCATTCAAGACAGGAGCCTAATCCCGGGACCAGGCTGTCACTCAATTAACCTCTGACCCGCTAGCGCCCGCCCCCTGAGAGCCGCATCCTGTAGCAGGAGCGCTGCTTCCGGCTCGGCAGCCAATCCGTGGGCGTGTGCCGCCATAAAAGTGCAGGGGGCGGGCCGGTGGGCTCGTTGCTGGCTTTTGAATCGGGTTCCGGAGAGTGTGCGGGCGCCATGTCCGGCCGCGAAGGTGAGTGTGTGCGGCGGGGGCCAGGGGACAGGGGGACGGGCGACGGGGACTAGCAGAGAGCGCTTGTGTTGCCCACAGGTGGCAAGAAAAAGCCCTTGAAGCAGCCCAAGAAACAGGCCAAGGAGATGGACGAGGTGAGCGCGGGCGCCCAGACGCGGGGGAAGCGGAGAGAGGGGGAGACCGGTCTGTCGTGAACCTGTCGCGCTCTTTCCCCCAGGAAGACAGAGCGTTCAAACAGAAGCAAAAAGAGGAGCAGAAGAAACTTGAGGAGCTGAAAACGAAGGCCGCGGGAAAGGGTCCCCTGGGTAAGTGCGCGCTGAGCAGGAGCTAGGCCCGCGGGGCTGTTGAGATCTCAAGGAACTGGGGTCTGGGTTTCTGGAGGCCGCCCAGCCCAGGCAACCTTAGGCTATCATTCCGTGCGGAAGCTGCGAAACTTTGCCCCACAGATTCTAATGGTGAACTTTCTGAATATTCTCTACAACTCACTGCCTTTTTTTGCTGATAATATTACTTAAATTTTTTGCTTACTATTTGTATTATCTATAATGACATCAGTTCACCCGGAGTCATTTCGGGTGCATTTGCTTGGCTTGCTGTTGCTTCACGTGCTTTACTAACCTACCATTTGGCTTGTTCCTTCATGTGACAGAAATGAATTACATATGTCTCAAAAGATTCTTAAAGCTTGGCAGTGGTAGTATCTAACATGCTTTTGTTTTTTGGTTTTTGGGTTTTTTGTCTTTTGAGACAGAGTCTTATGTATTCCAGGCTACCCTCAAACTCCCAGTGACCCTTGGTCTTGCTCTCTTGATTCCCCGGGGTTTTATGCATTTGAAATACTGTTTTACATTTGTCAAACTAGTGATTATTTCATCTACAGTTGTTTAGACCCTGTTTGAGCATTCTGAGCCACACAGAGTGTGGTGGAGGCAAAGATGATGAAAGTGCCAATGGGGCTTCCCAAAACTCCCATCCCAGTGGATTCAGTTATTAAATGTCCACGTAGGACTGGGGTTCTTCCTATAATCTGGTGTCTCATCTTCTCTTAGTCTGTAATCATGTATAGGGAGAAAGCCAGTCGTTAGTGAAACCTTGTATAAATGAAGCATCTCTAATCTGAAAATCCAAAGTGTGCCTAAATCCCAAATGTTTTTGAATGCAGATGTGTTATAAATCAGCCAAGGGTTCTTTTGCTCAAATCAGATGAAAATCATAAAACTGGCATGTTACTGAATGAGTGGGGTCAGAGGAATTTCCTCAGGGAGAACCTCAGGGTTCCCAAGTTGCTCTCCCCTCAGGGGACAGGTTCATTGTCCTTTACCATTAAAAAAAAAAAAGACACAGGATGCGTGAGAAAGAGATACAGGCAAGCAGATGTATTAGACAGAATTAGAAAGCAAGGAAAAAATAGGGAATAAGCTTTAGCTTAAGGAACTAAAAGGGGAAAGATCTGATGATCTCACTGGCTCTTAAAACAACAACAACAAAAACAACACTAGCTTTTTATCGTTTTGCTAGAGTGTGCTGGGAGGCTAGTAACTTGCTATTAGGTCATAAGGTAATCCCAGTTCTCTGGGAGACTTAACACAGGACCATTGCAAATTTGAGCCCTAGAGAATTTAGCAACTTGGCAAGACTCTGTCTCAAAAACAGGACTGAAGATGTAGCTCATTGTGAAGAGCTGTGTGAAACATAAGTGAATTTTGTGTTTAAACTTGAATCTAGAACCACAAGATACCTCTCTCTCTTTTTTTTTTTTTTTTTTAAACTGGAAACCAAACTTAGCTACTGAGCTATATCCCTGGCCCAAAATACCTCATTTTATATATGCAAATATTCCAAAATCCAAAACACTTCTGTTCCTAAGCATTTTAGATAATGGATAATGAATCCAGTTTTTTAAGTTTTTTTTAACAACCCCTTTGTATCTTCATTCCTGTATGCAGCATACTTACTCCTACAACTACTTGTTATTTACCTATGGGGTATCAAATGTCATGTGTAAGTTGAGTAACAATACAGGCATTTTGTTTTGTTTTTTGCTATGTAGCCCAGGCTAGTCTCAAAGTCACTGCAATCCCCTGCCTCAGCCTTCAGAATGCTGCAATTACATGCATGTGCCATCACACCTAGTAACATATAGGCCTTGAGTAAGCCAGTTATGGTGGCATATGCTGTAATTTCTTTTTTTTTTTTTTTTTTTGTCTTTTTCGTTTTTATCGGTACCGGGGACCGAACTCACGACTGCCTGCTTGCAAGGCAGGTGCTTATGCCGCTGAGCTAAATCCCCAGCCCCATATGCTGTAATTTCTGTTTCTTTTCTTTTCTTTTTTTTTTTGGTACCAGAGATCAAACTCACAACGTCACACTTGCCAGGCTTATGCCCCTGAGCTAAATCCCCAGCGCCTATATGCTGTAATTTCAACACTCTGAGAAATCAAGGCAGAATGATCACAAATTCAAGTACAGCCTGTACAGCTTAGCAAAACTCTGTCTCAAAAATAATTTAAGGGGCTGGAGATTTAGCTCAGCGGCATAAATGCCTGCCTTGCAAGCAGGCAGTCGTGAGTTCGATCCCTGGTACTGATAAAAAGGAAAAAGACAAAAAAAAAAATAATAGTTAAAAAGGGCCGAGCATGTGAGCAATCAGTGCTCAGTGCAGAAGTCCTGGGTGCAGTCCACAGTGCACACACACACACACACACCCAGTGTAAATGCTGTGAGTAAACCAGATCACAGCAGCATAGTTTAGGATGTAGCATAATGTGATGCAGCATGGACCTAGCAGTCAAGCTATCTGGCTTGGAATCCTGGTTCATCACATACCAGCCTATAACCCTGAATGACACCAGATACAAAGACTTATTACCTGTGAGTGGGTTGCTGTGGAATGATTAATGAATTACCCAACATGTAGATGGGAAACAATGCACAGCCATTAGTTGTTTCCCTTCCTTGGCCTCATTTCTGCCTTCACCCAGAACTGGGAAAGCGTACTGTTCATGCCTTCATCAAAGTGAATGTGTGGTATTCACTTCCTCAAAGTGAATACCAGGCCTTACTAGGATCCACGTCTGACCCCATGGGTTTTTACCCTAAGAACTGTATTATTGTCTAAGTGATTTTTTTTTTTTTCCTTTTGCAGCCACAGGTGGAATTAAGAAATCTGGGAAAAAATAAACTTCCTTGTGCCTAAAACGATGCTGACCCTGGATTCCATTCCTGTTCCGTTATCTGAATTCCCTTCCATAACATCTTTTTACACCCATAATTAGATTGAAGTGTGTTCTTGGAGTCTGTTGTACATTTAAGAATAAAATTTTGTAAAAAAAAACAAAAACAAAAACAAAAAATCATACAGTGGCTTATTGTCTCTAGTTTTCATTCAGCCATTTCTACCTCAGCTGTGAATGTAACATATACCCAGCCTGTAATTCTGCCATAGTGTGCTCTTGAATCTTTATTCTGCTTCGAATTCTGTATCATCTGGAATTAAACTAACTTATGAAAGGCTTTTTCTTGTATGGTTGTACATTCAATAGAATACCTTATCTGAGGCTAGTGAAAAAATTAGTACTTTAGAAATTCTTTTTCTGCTACAATTTTTTTTTTTTTTTTTTGTCTTTTTCCTTTTTTATCGGTACCAGGGATCGAACTCACGACTACCTGCTTGCAAGGCAGGCACTTATGCCGCTGAGCTAAATCTCCAGCCCTTGTGCTACAATTTTCAATTTGTCTTATAAATGGATTGTGTTATCTGTTTGTTTATGTAAGAAGTCTGTGTGCAGACATGGGTGTATGCCAGTGAACACAGCTCCTTTTAAAGTCAAGGAACCTCTCTTGTAGATACATATACATAGTATGAAGAGGACATAAATGGGAAAGAAGAGGCCAAAATATAAGAACCAAGTACCCTCAAGACTGCATATCTACTGTGGATGCAGAAAGGTCTTTACTAGATTCCTGTCTAATTTTTGCTTTTTTGAGAATCACTAGTCCAAGCTGGCCTTGAACTCACTATGTAGTCCAGGATTGCCTCAAACTTGTGATCCTTCTGCTTCTGCTTCCCAAGGGCTATAATTACAGGCATTTGCCACCACATCTGTCTTTTGTGTCATACCTCATATTTAGCCCATCAAAATAAAATCTGCTCTTGCCATAGACCTTCCAGTACTATCCATTCTATAATCCATCTGGATGACTGTAGACACACCCAAATATATGTTTCTGCTCCTGCTATTGCTTTGCTGACGTCTAGTCTTTACTCTGAACCTAAAGTAATTTTATTAAGCCATAAATCAGACTTTCTGCTTGATGTATTCTTCAGTAGCTTCTTAAGAGCAAAAGCCAAAGTTCTTAAAATTACCACTGAGGCCATATAGGATCTAGATACTACTCCTTTCTCATCTCTACTATTCAGCTCACTTGACCATCCTTAGCCAGAGTAGCCTGTATCAGGCAAGCTTCTGCTTCACTGTTTCCACTAGCTCTATCCTATCAAGAGTCCTACAGACTGAACATTGCCATTAGACCACTGAACTCATTATCACAATAGTGACCTCTTCCTTAATCATTATATGAAGTGGTAGTTCCATGTCTCCTAACCCAGTTACAATCCTGGTACAATTTTTTTTCAGTACTAGGGATCAAACTTACAAATTCATGCTTGCTGGCAGGCACTTGCTCCACCAAACTAAAGCCGTGGCCTGGTACAATTATGGAAATAATGGTAAACTTTGAGAAGGTTTTTTCGTTGTTGTTGTTGTTGTTGGTTTGGTTTGGTTTTTTTGTTTTGTACAGGGAATCAAACTCACAACCTTGCGCTTGCCAGGCAGATGCTGCACTGCTGAGCTATATATCTCTGGACTTGAAAATGTTTTTAAAAGGATTCTATACCAAGCATGGTAAACCTCTGTAATCTCAGAGCATGAGACAGCAGAATAACCACAAATTCAAGGCCAGCCTAAACTACTTGGCAAGACCTTGTCTCAAAAAACAAACAGGAGGGGGCTGGGGATTTAGCTCAGCGGCATAAGCGCCTGCCTTGCAAGCAGGCAGTCGTGAGTTCGATCCCTGGTACCGATAAAAATGAAAAAGACCAAAAAAAAACAAACAAACAGGAGTTTAGTTCAACAGCACAAGCACCTGCCTGGTCATAAGTTTGGTCCCCAGTACCAAAACAAACAAACAAGGGAATCTAGAATCATTTTGAACTATTAAGACAAAGCCAGGCACAGTGGCACATCCCTGTGATCCCAGCTCTCAGGAGGCTGATGCAGGAGGATCACTGCAAGTTTGAGGCCAGCCTGAACCTTGCCTTTAAAAAGACCAAAAAAAAAAAGGACTGGGGATATAGCTCAGTGGCACAAGCGCCTGCCTGGCAAGATTTTAAAAATTTAAAAATAAAACACTGGAATTGGTTTTGGCCTTTATTGTTTGTTTGCCCAGGCTGGTCTCTAAACTCATGATCCTCCTACTTCAGATGCAAGGAGCTGGGATTACAGGCATGCCATTGCACTTGGCCTGGAAAAGATTTTGATAGATTGAAAGCTGTTTGATGACTACACTGTAGCAAATATTAATAGAAAACAAGAGCCCATGCCACCTTGCTCTGGTTCTCTCCAGAAAGTTGGACACACAGCCTGGGCACTGCTGAAAACAACACTTTTGAGTACAAATGACAGCATATTACACCTAAAAGGAAACTGCTGCTCTTCTGCTTGGTGGGCCCTAATCCCCACTGACAAATGAACAACCATGTCTCCAGAGCCAGAGACCTGCAGAATTAAGACAATTTAAGCATTCAGGCCAGGAGCAGTGATGCATGCCTGTAATCCCAATACATGGGATACTGAGGCAGGAGGGTCACTGCAAATTGGAGATACAGTCTGGGACACAGTGAGACCTTTTCTCAAAAAAAAGGAGCCTGCCCAGGCTTCATAATTTAGCAAGACCTGTCCAAAGATAATAAAGGACTGGGGATGTAGCTCAGTACCAAGGCCTTGGGTGGTTTAATCCCAGTACCATGAAAATATTTTTTTCAGTGTTCAAGCAGGGAACCTATCAGCCCAACTTTCTGGACATAACCAGTTTTTCAGGAAACCTATCAGTTGCTTTCAAAACCTAAACTCTAGCTGGGCATGGTGGCACATGCTTGTAATCTTAGCACTTTGGAGGCTGAGGCAGGATTGCGTGAGTTCGAGGTCACCCTAGACTACACAATGAACTCAAAGCCAGCCAGCCTGAATTACATAGTGTGATCCTGTCTCAAAAAGACCTAAACTCTTGAGGCATTCTAGATCTGACAGCAATCCCCTTTTTATTTAATCTCATTTTCCTGTAATGCATTAACAAATATTCATGGGACAGCCATAGGCAGTTTGATATTGAGCATTCAAGGTTGAAAGGTCTTTCTCCTGTCACCAATATCAATCCTCTACCGTTGCTATCTGTTCTGCACACCATTGCTGCTCAGTAAAATCCCACAGGCACTCCAGCCCAGCTCAGATCCCTGTTCCTCCGAGAAACTTTCTTCTCTTTTTGCCTGGCTGGTACTCCGTGTTAAATTCTTATCGAGTAATCCCATGTGCCAGCCTCATAGACCTTCCTCCTTGCTAACTCCCAACCTTTGGAAAACTCTGGAGCCTCCTTTGACCTCCTAGGCCTCCTTCGCCTCTCTACAACCAGCACTTGACACAAAAAACTCCCACACTTAGCGGGATGCGTGAATGAATGTTAACTCTTTCCCACATTGGCACACGTTCTCAGATCACTCTCTCCTTGAAAACATACATATATTTGAAGTTTTCTATGCTGGAAGACGCCTGCTCACTACAGCTCCATTCATACACCTCCCGCAGCCCGATCTTATCACTTCCCGCCTAAAAACTCCGGGTATGTGACAGGTGGGTTTGGCCGGAAGACAGTACACCACCCCTGACAGCTGCCCGCTCGGTTCAAGCACACAAGCGATCATGCCAGGACAAACTGCTCCTGTGCAGCTTTGTAGCCCAAGGTGCCAGAGAAGGGGCGAAGAGCCGAACGCCCAGAAAAGCAGGTATGTCGCCAACTAGGCGCGGAGTCTCAACAGCGCATCTGCTTAGCCCGCGGGAGTACCTGCGGAGGGGAGGGGCCGAGCGCAGCGACGTGCTCTGAAGTACGTCATTTCCCCGCGCCCTGTCTCTGGCGTCTGATTGGCCAGGAGGCTGGGGGCGGGGCTCTGGCGGCTGAGGAGAGCCGGGGCGCGCGGGCGGTTGGTCGAGCTCCTGCGTCGCGCAGATCTGCTTGAGGCTCACGGGCAGCATGGCCGGGACCCCGGCGCCCGGCAGCAGGAGGTGGGGCGCGCCCCCGGCACTCCACCATGGCCCGCCGCCCGGTACCAGCCACCCTCCGAGCAAGCGGGCCCGGGGCTTCCCCGAGACCACCTCCCTGGACCCCGAAGACCCATTCGATGCACAAGGGGAATTCACTGCAGACGACCTGGAGGAGCTCGACATCCTGGCGTCCCAAGCCCTGAGCCAGTGCCCGGACGTGGCAAAGGACCTGTCCAGTGAGTGCTGCGGGCCCTCTCCGGGCGGGAGGTGCAGATCTCGCCGGCGCTCTTGGGAGTGGTGGCTCCGGAACCCCAGCAAGCTATACCCCGCGGTCTTGGGGCAGTTGTGTTCTAAAAAGTCATTTGATTGGAGGAGAAATGTATCCAGAACGTCAGACAGCCGATTTAAATGTATACAGCCATTTTAACTTTTTACTTTATATTTTTAAATTCTAGGCTGTTCGGCTCTTGGTTCTAAGCAGAGATCTTTCTTTGTAGCATAACTACCACCGCCACAACCGTCGCCCTCCGCGGAAGAGACTTTAGATCATATGCAGTCCATGGTAGCCCTTAGACAGTGTGAGCATAAGAAGGGCTTGGCAGAGGCAAAAGATGAGACTGTTTTTTGTTTTGTTTTGTTGTTGGTTTTTACAGTAACCTAGCAAAGTGCCCAAAAGTTAGGAACCACAGCGGATCTATAGCGCGTTGAACAAAATACAAAAACTTTCCTTCACGGAACTTAATATTCTATTTAGAGAATGAGTGAAATCTGGTGAGGCTGCCAGAAAAAATGAAGGTCATCTTGAATCTGTGCTTGGCAGGTAAGGCATCTTAAGTGCCACAAGATCATTACCTGGAAGTCTAGTCCTCTAGCGTCTCCAGCATGGAGCCTGGCAAAGCAGATACTATTCAACACTCGTTGATGACCGGATGGTCTGTGTGACAGTGATTTGCATCACTCTCCTTCTAATAGCACGAGGTGACTCCTTCCCCTTGCTCGACCCTGTATCTAATTCCTTTCTAAATCTTACCATCAACTTTACCTTCTTAATCCATCTTTGGAGTCCATCTTTTTCATATCATTTCTACCAACTTCCTGATCTATGCTACTATGACTCCAACCCAGGACAAGTGTCTGCTAGATTGGCTCACCTTTTCTAGTCTTGTCTGCCTACAAGTCAGACTTTATACTATACCCAGAGTGATCTTTTCAGAACTCAGATCCAACTGTATCTCAAATGTATGCATGAACGTTCATATTGAAAGTGCTATAACTTCTCAGTGCTTCTAATAGAGACCAAGTTCTTTTCATTTTTTCTCTTTTGTTGAGACTGGATCTCGCTGTGTTGTTCAGGGTGGAATTGAACTCACTGTACTCACTCTGTGAGTACTCTGTGAGTTTGAGAGCCTCCTGCCTCAGCCTCCCAAAGAATTATAGGTGTGAAAACCAAGCCTGGCTTAGAGACCAAATCTTTAATATAGCCTGCAAGGGCTAGCAACCAGGTCCTCTGACTCTTTCTTACTTTCTGTCTCTGTTCTAACCACACTAACCTTTCATTTCTTGAATTTTTCCTACATCCTTACCATACAGAAACTCTACACATTGCTGTATTGAACATTCTTGCCACCCACACCCTATCTCTACTTATCTGGTTCATCCCTGTGTATCCTTCAGCTCTGCTCAGTCAGGACTTTCTTAGGAAACATTCCAGTTATTGCACTTGGGTTGGGGTACTTTTTTATAGATATTCTTATATTTGGGCTCTGCAGCTCTTATCACAATTGTGATTTCTCCACACACCCTGGAGAGTGACCCTGGTACTCATTGAGCTACATCACTGAACTTTTTTACTTTTTATTTGAGATAAAGTTCACTCACTAAGTTCCCCAGCTAGATTCAAACTTGGAACCTTCTTGTTTCTTTCTCCCAGAGTCTCCTTATAAGTGTATAAGTACCACCATGCCTGGTTCACAGTTGCATTTGTATTTATTCATATGATTATTTTTTGATTGTCCTGTGAGCTTCCTGAGTTTTAAGACTGTATCTATTTTAAGACTGTATCTATTTGTTCACTCTTACATCTGTAGACACTATCACCATGCCTGATACATTGTAGTTGCACAGTAAATATTGTTGAATAATAGTATAATCCTGGCTAGTAAGATATTTACAGTACCTTTCAGCCTTTAGTTTTTAGATTTTAATCTTTTGTTTCCTTTCCTTTCCTTTTTTTTTTTTTTTCCTTTAATAGTGAAGGTTGTAGTATGTAGTCCAGGCCAGCCATGAACTTGCTTTATATCCTCAAATTTGAGATCTTTCTGCCTCAGCCTCCTGAGTCCTGGGATTATAGGTGAGCATGACCATACCTGGCTCTTTTAGCCTTTAGTTGAGCCTTAAAATTGAGTGAAGAGTGAGGAGAAGATAGTAGCATCGTTTATTTCATATGGATTGTTTATGAGTTTATACCATGTTTTTATTTTTTTTGTCTTTTTTTTTTTTTTCGTTTTTATCGGTACCAGGGATCGAACTCACGACTGACTGCTTGCTAGCAGGCGCTTATGCCACTGAGCTAAATCCCCAGCCCCTATACCATGTTTTTAGGTGGGAGAATACTGCTGCATACTGCTTACTAGATCGTTGTCTCCTTTCAAGGGTGTTTTCTGCTAGGCATGGGGGCCCACACCTGTAATCTCAGCTGCTCAGGAAGATGGGGCAGGATGATCACAGGTTTGAGGCCCGGCTGGGCAATTTAGTGAGACCCTGTCTCAAAATTTACAAAAGGGATACAGGATGTAGCTCAGAGGTAAATGGGCCCTGGGTTCAATCCACAGTAACACATACACAGACGTACGTAGTGAATCACTGCTACATTTTCTGGCAACAGTGGGGAAATGTTAGGTCCTTAAATGTATATGGAAATTGTTTTATACAGCTGTTCATAAGGTCCGCAGATTAGATGGGATGTCAAATAGTTCCACAGGGAAGAACAAAGAAAATGCTTCAGTTAAAGAAAACTTCGAACTAGATGTACTTCAGATGCAGTACAAAGAACTTAAGGAAAAGGTAAGTAACTTCACTTGGAGGGTTTCTTTTTTTTTTAACTTTTTATCGGCACCAGGGGTCGAACTCACAACCGCCTGCTTGCAAGGCAGGTGCTTATGCCGCTGAGCTAAATCCCCAGCCCCTCACTTGGAGGGTTTCTGCTGCTGCTACTTGTCTTTGACACTGAGGACTGACCCTAGGGCCTTGGCTATGCTAAGTAAGCATGTATTCTACCACTGAGCTATACTGTCACCCCTGCTTACAATAGCTATTTCATTCATTTATGTGTTTGAAAGCATTGTACAATAAAATACACAAAAGTTTTATAAATAAGCATCTCAGTCTTATTCCTGTGAAATGAGAGAAGGTTGGGGAAAGAAAGCCAGAAAATTTAGACTAAAAGGCACAGTGTGCGATTCCTAACAGCAAGATAGAAAATAGGGCTGGGGATTTAGCTCAGTGACATAAGAGTCTGCCTGGCAAGTGCAGGGTTGTGAATTTGATCCCCAGTACCAAAAAAGCACTGTACACCAGATCCAAAAGGAAAAATACAAACTCTTAAACCACTGAGATGAATCTACAGCATATGTCTATATGAAGAACACTGTAACAATTGCTATTTCATTAACAGTGTTAGTATGACCACATGTAAGTTCCTAAGAAAACCAGGAATAAAATGTGGAATTCCAATTCCCTGAAGTGTGACCTGAGTTATTAAATGCCTTTTAGAGCCTAAGAATCTACATGTGACACGAAAGTAGAAGGAAGACCATTAGAGAAGAGGCAGGGAAATGTGGAGCCAGGTGAAGGGTAGTGAGCAAAGTTTATTATATGCATGTATGACACGGAACCTAGTCTGTATAATGAGTGTGCATCAAAAATAGTCTGCATTGAGTGAGTGACAGGTATGTCCTTAACCCATTCTTGCTGACTGTCAGTTAATTTGGGATTTACAGTTGAAAACGATGGAAGAAGAAATCCTCATTAAGAATGGAGAAATTAAAATCTTGCGGGACTCATTGCATCAGTCAGAATTCATTCTGGAAGAACAAAAAAGATCATACTTCCTTCTTGAACAAGAGAAAACTCAAGTACTCAGTGATAAAGAAAAGGAGTTCTCCAGAAAGGTGACTTGGCAGTTATTTTGCATATGATGGACTGTAGTTTTGTCTGCTCACTGACTTCTTCGTTTGTTTGTTTGTAGTACTGAGGACTGAACCTAGAGCCTTCACACCAAGCTACATCCCTAGTCCATTTTTCATTCTGAGACAGGGTCTGCTGAGTTTCCCAGGTCGGGCTCAAACTTGAGATCTTCCTGCCTCAGCACTTCCTCCCAGAGTGCTAGGATTAGTCATGTGCTGTCACATGTGGCTACTGATCTCTTTTAAAAGCAGTGACACTGTTGCCTATAAATCCTCCAGGGAGTTTTCAACAGCTGTTTGCCTTAAATACTTCTTGCTCTTAGTAAATTCTCACACTTTTCTTCCAGAGTCTGCTTATGGTTTGGAAAAGGAATGAGATGAAATGCTGCATCACTGTGGTATTTAGTACTGGCAAGAATAAATCACTAGTTTAGAATTTCTAGAAACAGGATTAAATTCAGGCTCTTTTGATAGAAGAACTCAGTTAACCTTGCTTAAGCCAAAGGAAATGTAATGACAAATCTGGGAAAAGAGGAGTATGCTAGGGTGTGGGGTGACTCTGACCCCAGGCTACATTTTGATTTCCTATGCTACAGGTAGGCTCTGTCCTTAGAAGGGTGAATTCTCCCCCAGGGAGAAGTTCCTGGGCTTGTACTTATAACTCTAAAGCACTGGTAAGACTTGGCCTGCTATCTCAAGTTTAAAAATCTGAGGAAGCTGTCTGGCAAGTGGAAGGTCACGAGTTCGATCCCCAGTACCAAAAAAAAAAATCCGAAGAAGGCACTGATTGGTCTACCTTGAGTCAGGTGTCTGTCCCTGGACTGGCCACTGTTCAATGAAAGCCCCCATTTGAGTCACATGTTCAGAGGAAGGGAAATACTGTTCTGGGAAGAAAAACAGCAAGTGTCTAGTACAAACCGCCACTTTCCTTCAGTCGCTCCTGAAATGATTTGTGTGTGTGAGTCAGGGCCTCACACATGCTAGGCAAACACTGCCACTGGTCTAAGGCAAACTTAACATACTAAATACTCTATGCAATGGCCTATGCCCCAGCGCTAACTCTAGTAGTTGACTTTCCATGTAAATGATGAAGAGCTGGCATGGGGTGTACACCTACAATCTAGCCTAAGACAAGATCACCACAAGTTCAAGGCAGCCTGGACTATAATGCAGCACCTGCTTCAAAAAAACCAAAATAACTGGGGATTTAGTTCAGTGGCACAAGCATCTGCCTGGCAAGCACAAAGTCAGGAGTTTGATCCCTGGTACCCAAAAAAAAAAAATACAGGCTGCACACTTGTTGTAATCCTTAGTCTTCCTCAGAAGGGGAGACTGAGGCAGGAAGACTGTCATGAGTTCAAAACCAGCCTGAGCCCACATCGTTAGACCTTGACTCAGAAAACAAAGCTGAGCACAGTGGCACATGTCTGTAATCCCAGCACTCGGGAGGCTGAGGCAGAAGGATCACTGTAAGTTTGAGGCCAGCCTAAACTACATAGTGAAACCTTGTCTCAAAAAGACAGTGAATAAATGAATGAATGATGAAGAACAAGGGATTTGAAATTATCCAAGCCAGTGAGTCTAGGTTTCAGTGGTAACCTCAGAATAGTGACTAAAATGTGACCTCTACAGACTGTCCCAAAAAATAATGGTAAAAGTTGTCAGAAGGCCCAAACCTTCCTGCATTTACTGTGACTGGCAGTGTGGCAGCTACTGGCTGGTTAAAAGATTTAAAAAAAAAAAAAAAAAAAAGAATAGCCAGGTGTCATGGTGCACACCAGTAATCCGACCTACTTATGAAGGTAAGGCAGGAAGATCACAAGTTCAAGATCAGCCTGGGCTACATATTGAAGCTATCTCAAAAAGAGAAAGAAAAGTTACTATTGAGATTTGGCACCTTACCAAACTGCTGCACAATTTCTACTCAAACTTCCCTTAATCTTCCCATATGTATTAGAGTCAAGAATCTGTTACAGATTCAGAAAGGCTAAGTAAATGGTGGGCTTATAACTGCCTTCACAATAGTTAAAATCAGATATCTTTCTAGAGTGTCATGCTGTCTTTCAGAAGGCTGGCATTTTAGGACATTTGTATGGCAGCAGACTTTTTTGTGAGGGGGTCTTTTTTGAGGCAAGGTTTTACTGTATGTTCCAGGCTGGTCTTGAACTCACTTTGTAGCCAAGGTTAGCCTTGAATTCACAGCGATCCTCCTGTCTCAGCCTCCCATGTGCTGGGATTGCAGGTGTGCATCTCCACACCCGGCTGACAGCAGACTTTTATATGTGCTTTTCATTTACTGGCTTGAATTTTGATACCCAGAAATATTTTTACACACATTATAGTGCCACTGCAAGTATATCTTTTGCCTTTCAGCTTCAATCATTGCAGTCAGAACTCCAGTTTAAAGATGCAGAAATGAATGAATTAAGGACCAAGCTTCAGAGCAGTGAATGGGTGAATAAACTGGCTGCTCCCTCCGTTTCCCATGTCAGGTAAGGCTGGTACCAGAGAGTTCATTTATTTAGTAAAAAGTCAGACTAATCCTGAACAACGGCCATGTAGACCCTGCCACCTGGGCAGAGTCCTGTTTGCTGAAGGAGTCAAAGGTGGTTTGGATGAAGCTAAATGATTTGAGATGTCACAGCATAAAGGCCCTTACTGTGTTGGTGCTTTCTTTAAATGAGACTTTATAAATACAGTGTCTTAAAAGTAGAAAAAGCAAGCCAGGATTGGTGGCACATGTCTGTAATACCAGCACCGTGGGAGGCAGAGGCAGGAGTATCAAAGTTATAAAAAAGCTAAGAAGTGGGGGTGGAGGAATTGAGGATGTAGTTCCATGTGATGCCTGCAAAAAATAAATAATCACATACATTAAAAAGGTAAGAAAAAGCTGAGAAGATGATCTCCAAATGTGGGGCATGGGCCAGTCTTCATTTCTAGTGATCTGTGCAACGTAGCAGGCCCTAGGACCTGGTTCAGTTCCTCCCCAAAGAATCTGTTAGACCTAACAGATTTTGCCCCACATATGAGTATATTTCAGTACTAGCTGAATATTGGAGTATTTTTCCTCAGTTGCTGCTCTGGGACCTTTTTCTCACAGCCCCTCAGTTGCTCCTGGATATACTTAACGTGTTAACGGTTTGTATTCTGTCTTCTGCCTGTCAGAGCAGTCTGGTGCTATAAATAGCAGCCTGGAAATTTGAACAGTGTCAGGACCTTTTTCTAACAGCAAACATTCTGCCTTGCCCATAATAAGCAGTAAAATTAAACTTGCTTGCATACTCCAAGGAGTCAAATTGCAACTCTCTGGATTCAGTCACTGACTATTAAAAAATTAGATTGTTCCACATTGAACAGGTTTTCTTTGGTGGAATTGGAAACAGTAAAAGAATTATGGCCAGGGCTGGGGATTTAGCTCAGCGGCATAAGCGCCTTCCTTGCAAGCGTGTGGTCGTGAGTTCGATCCCCGGTACTGATTTTAAAAAAAAGAATTATGGCCAATATTTGGGGGGATTAGAGGGAACTATGGAACTTGGTAATTCAGATTGAAATCCCTTGGATTTTGTACCACTGCCCTGGACAGAGTAGGATATATGCGTACTAGATAAAACCAAAAAACACCTAAACGTAAGAAGTTAAACCTTGTTGAAAGTTTTGTAACCATGTTCTTTTTTTTTTTTTTGTCTTTTTCATTTTTATCTGTACCAGGGATCGAACTCACGACCGCCTGCTTGCAAGGCAGGTGCTTATGCCGCTGAGCTAAATCCCCAGCCCCTGTTCTTTAAGTGATTTTTAGCAGAATTAGTACTTTGCTTTCATAATTAATTTTTTTCAGTCCTAGGAAAAACTTTTCTGTGGTTACAAGACCAGAAGCATGTTCTTCACAATTTGGAAAAACATCTTTTCCTACAAAGGAGTCTTTTAGTGCTAACATGTCCTTTCCCCACTCCTGCCAGACCGAACCAGGATGCAAGTCTCCAGTGGGCAGAGAGGGTAAGTCAGTCTGTTAACCATGCATTGCTATCTAACAGACTACCCAAACTTGTGGCTTAAAACAAAAACAACTTTATTTTCTCCCAATTCTGGGGGTGTGCAATTCTGAAAGGGCACAGTGAAGCAGCTTACCTCTTCAGGGGCTAGAGTCACTCAAACTTCACTGAAGCTGAAGGATCTGGAATGAAAACATTAATTCCTTTCCAGAGAGGCCTCTCCATAGGGATAGAAGGTATCCTTACAACATGAGAGATGGCTTCTCTTTTTGCCAGCAACCCAGGGAGAGGCAGCTAGGACTGCTGATTCTTCTAGAGGGAGACCATCTAGTGTGCTAGTTTTTACTCTGAGACTGCTGTGCCAGTTCATCTTGTAATTCAGATATAATTAGTTTCTTCCTACCATCAGCCCTTTCAGATCTTGCCACTTACGAGAAGCTTCGGTCCACTTACATTTTTGGTGTCTAGCAACTGGTGATACAGTGCAGGATAGTGTTACAAGCAGACAAGAGCCCAGCAGCCTCCATACTAGTCCCGGCCTGCTCCCTGGCTTGTCTGATCAGGGCAGATCCTTACCCCTGTCCCTTGGCCTCCCTAAATGTAAAACAGAGCTAGTGATAATGTCTCCTTGTGGGGTTGCTCTGAGGAACAGAAGCTGCTAAAATCTTGGACAGTATCTGATACATACTAAACCCTGTATAAATGTTAGTTGTTACTGTATTCATCTTGTTGCTTCATTTTGAAGTGAGGCCTAATGTTTCTTTCTGTGTGTGAATTCCTTTTATATGAAGAAAGCAAAAGATGTAAGCTGCTTTGGTTGGCCTAACATCAAGGAGTAGAACAGCCTGGCTGTTTTAAACTCATTACATGTAAGAGTTCCTGATATGTCTATGCTTTTGATTCACATTTTATCTAGCTTCAGATAATAAGACCCACAGCCAGAGAAGTAGCCCTGTAAAGCAAGAAGAGGTGCAGAAAAGTCTAATGGACAGCTGGCGGCAGAAATCAAACATCAAAGGTACCAAATCCCCTGCTTTTCCTGCAGCAACCTGCATGGCTCCTGTTGCCTTCTGCAGTGCTCAGCGAGAGAAACTGTCTGGAACTCTTGAGAACCCCAGGCAGTCATTCAGGAGGTCCAGGCAAGCAGGAATCTGACTCAAGCAGGAGATGAAGAGACAGGGCAAAAGGGGGTTTTCGGGGCTGAACCCAGGGCTTTACACTGAGCTCTAGATCTCTAATCCTTTTTTATTTTTTATTTTGAAACGGAATCTTGCTGAATCTCTTCAGGTACTCTCTTCAGGTACTTCAGGACTGGCCTCAAATTCACAATCCTGCCTTAGCCTCCCAAGTGCTGGTATTAAAGGCATGTGCCACCACACCCAGTTTAAGCACAAGACTTTATAAAATGGAAAAGTCAAGCCAGGCTTGGTGGCAGGCACCTAAGAAGCTACTCAGGAGCTAAAATGAGGTTGCTTGAGGCCAAGAGTCCAAGGACAGCCTGGGCAATATAGCAAGGCCCAGTGGGGGGGGAAATGAAAAAGGCCAAGAGCAGATACATCCCAAAGTCTTCTGGACCCAAAGGCATCTTACTAGGACTGAGTGGCAGCTTAGCATCCACAGAACCTTCAGCTTTTTCTCCTGCAGTTGCAGAAAAGCTGTCCAGTGTCAGAACCTTCAGGAGTCACTTTGTCTTCCACAGGTTCCATTTTGATAAACCTATTACTGAAGCAGCCTTTGATCTCAGGGTCAGGTGTAGGTCTTTGCCACCTCCTGAGCAGTTGTTCTGAGTCTCCTACTGGCAACGTCTTGCAGCCACCAGGGCTTGGCAGGTAAGCATGAGACTTCTGGAAAGTTTGTTTGGAAAGGAGTTTCCAGGAAGCAAGTCCTTTTCTGACTTCCCAGCCTGGGAGGTCTGTGGGATGTACATGGGGACTGGAAAATTAGGAAGGTTGTTTGGGGCCCTTGGCCTTATGTATTTTATTTTGTATGTTTCTAGTATTTTGGCTGTGACTTCAGGCTTCAGAAACACAGGTTCCCAAAGTGAGTCATTTTCTTCCTTGTCCCTGAGAGAAGCACAGAACCTGGCCTTCACTGGACTGAATCTCATTGCCAGGAATGAAGGCTCATGGGATGGAGAACCAGCAGAGGGAACCAGAAGGGCCTTCCCACTCTGCCAGCTTCCTGGAGCCACGCACCTCCTTCCCCTCATTCAGTTCTTTGTGGGCCTACACTGCCAGGCTTTGCAGGAGCTGGCAGCAGCTAAAAGGAGTGGCGTTTCCGGGGACTTGCCAATGAGTAACTCCTGCGCAGACTCCGGGGTGGAGGCCAACCCCGAGGATTTGATTTGCAACCTGGAAGGCTTCTCTGTTGCTTCTCTTAGCATTCTGCAGCACCTGGTGTGTCACAGCGGAGCAGTAGTCTGCCTGTTACTGTCTGAAGTGGGGACAGACACTTGTGCTGAGGAAGGAAACTGGAGCCTGGCTCACAGACAGACTGGTGGAAATCCGGTCTCAGCACTCACGGGGGTTGCCGAAGACCAAGGCCAGCATCCACTATTGAAGATGCTTCTTTACCTGTTGGCTTCCGCTTCTGCAGCAGCAGGTCACCTGCAAGCCACTGTCCTAAGTCAGTGTCTCAAGGTTTTGGTGAAATTAGCTGAAAATGCCTCCTCCGATTTTTTGCCCAGGTATAAAGCAGTATGGAATGAACACTCCTCTGTGGGTCTCCCTTGACCTTAAGAGGTCTAATCTGTGGCCCTTACACTTTGCTCACATGTTTTTTAAGACAGGATCTCACTATGTAACTCATGCTGGCCTTCATATGTAATCCAGGCTGGCCTTGAATTCATGACAATCCTGCTTCAGCCTCCTGAGCACTAGGACTACAGGCATGCACCACCATCTCACATCTTGACTTTTTTCCACTGCTTAGTTCAAAGACTTGTTCCAGGGAGCTCTAAAGTGACAGGAAATGAAGCCAGGTGTTGGGAGAACCAAGAAGGTAGTTTTTTTAGTTTAATTCTGCCTCTGGCTAAAAATCGGAAGACACATATGATAAAGGCTGCTAGCCACTGTGAAAGTGTGTCCTGTCCCAGGACAAGGACTGAACCAAAATAAGGAGTTCCGTAAGGCACATGTCTGTAGCCACAGCCTGATGTGGAGTCTGTGTGTGAGCCCTGCCCACCCCAGCCTGCACCATAGGTCCCTGGCTCCTCTTCAGGCTATAGTAGCATAGTAAACCTAGTCACAAACATTGCTATAAGTTCCTGAGTTTGAATACAGATTCCTAAATTGAGAATACAGAGCCACCAGATGGGAGGGCAAGTAAACTCCACCAGGCCCACCCCCACGTGCAGCCCTCCAGGTGCTCAGCCGCCTCAGGCCCAGGAGGTTGGGGTGACACCACCTGCTGAACCTTCCTAACTCTTCTCACCCTGTGCTGAGCCCAGCCTGCCTGTTTCCTAAATTCAGTTCTGGATCCTTCCCAGTGGACATTTCCTGGCTGGTTGGTTCATCCTAAAGGTTGTGCTCAGAGGTAGATGGAACACTGCAGTGTGGTGGGGAAGCATGGTGAGGCTACTTACTTGCTTTATATTTGTTAAGTGAATAATCCCAGAAACCATGTCCTTGCCGTTTCTCCTGGAATACAGTCTCATTCCATTCTCGTTGAGTTTGTCCATAGGAGTGTTGAGAACACAGCTACTTAATGTGTGCCTGCTGCAGGCCCAATCCAGGAACCTTCCACTCGTCGCCTTGTGTGACACTCACGGCACTGCTGGAGCACAGGAGCTCACTCTGATGCTCGGTCAGTGTTGATAAACTCTATACTGAGATGTTGTTAGGGCTCAAAAGCAGGACGTGATGTAGTGCAAGCAGTGAGGAAGCTGCAGTCTCCACATCCTTGCCCACCCAGGCTTGAAAGCAAGACATCCTAGTCTTTCTCTTTTTTCTAGGGCTCACAGTGACCCTAGGGCCTTGTATCTGAACACTCACCATGCAGTCACATCTCTATAACCATTTCATTTTTCATTTTGAGTCAAACCTCACTAAGTTGCCTCCACCTCCCCAATACCTGGGATCACAGGCATGCACCACCACTCTTGTCTTTCTTGTGTCTATCACAGGCTCGGCCTCCAGGCCTGGGTTTTTAAGCAAGTAGATCTCACCTTCAATTTAACCAGAAGAGGATGGTGTATCCCCTTTGTGTACTGGGTTATGCATGCAGTTCGTTGAAAAAGAATGTCCTGATTCTATCAAGAAATATGGGAGGGTCCGGGGATATAGTTCAGCACAGTGGCCTACCTGGCAAGCGCAGGGTTGTGAGTTTAATTCCCAGTACTAAAAAAAACCCAGCAGGAATTGGCTGTGTTGTGCACAAAGGTGGATTGTTCTTGCAGACACTTTCAGGGGCCTTCATGAAAACAGATTGGGGCCACTTTCAGCCCAGTGAGGAATACAGTGATGCACACCTGTAATCTTAGCACTAAGAGGCTAAAGCAACAATATCACAAGTTCAAGCCCAGCCTGGACAACCTAGCAAGACTCTATCTTTTTTAAGGAGCTAGGCTGGAGATACAGCCGAGCACAAAAGCTCTAGTTCAATCCCTAGAACTGGAGGAGGGGACCTGGTTAAATTCCAGTTTCCCAGAGTGTCACCATCCCTGTCAAGGAGCATGCAGCTTCTTGCTTGACTGCAGGATACACCACAGAGTGAATCCATGCCCTGCTTCCTGCTTCATGGTCGTGGTCACAGTCTTTGACCACCACACTCTGCAGAGACACCAAGTGTAAAGGGGCACACACAGCTGGCCACTGTGTCAATGGCCTTTTCCAGCCTCATGCTCCTGCAGGCTATGTGGACAGTGAATCCAGTTTGCTTGGCTTGTTGGTCAGAGGTGTCACTCCTTGCCCAAGAGAGTGTCCCAGAACCCTTCACCCATGCACACCCTACAGTGGGCCCTCTTCCCCCTGGCAGCAGAGCCCAGCATCTCCTAACAGGCAGAGAATGGACTTCCTTGCGCAGTGAGTGGTCTTAGGAAATTCAGCCACAGCCAAGTCCCTGTGTCACTTGTAGAGCCCTGACTCATCCCAGTGGAAGGCAAGGACATTTCTGTCACTCCAAGTTATAATCTGCCCCTTCCCTGGGAGCAGAGACAGGAAAGAGCCCGGAAGGTGGAGACCAGGCTTTCCAGGCTGGGTGCTGCTGAGCCAGGCAGGACCCTGGCATCCATGCACAGCAGTCCTGTGCTGAAGGTTGGTGCCCACACAAGCTTCGTAGCAAGGAGACAGATAGCATCTGAACCCAAGTCTTGCCAACCAAGTCTTTTGGGGACTGTCGTGTCTCTGGCACATCTTCCAGGTTCCAGTGTGTGTTACCAGTGCTGCCACGGTGCCTCAGCCCAGAGACACCCCTGCCTTGTGTGCTGCTGACTGTGGAGCTGCTCTCTCTCCTGGTGGACCACGAGAGCCTGGCACCGCAGCTCTGCTCCCACCCTGGTAAAGAAGGGCACAGCGGCACCTGCCTGTGTTGGAGGGAGGTCAGGGTAGGGCAGCTGGGTTAAATTCCTGAGGGGTTCCAGAGCTCCGAGCCCAGGCCCAGGACAGGGAAGGACCCTGGGTGAATGAGGTTGTCCATTTCAGAGGGCTGCCTCCTCCTGCTGCTGTACATGTACATCACCTCAAGGCCCGACAAGGGGGCCTCGGAGACACAGTGGCTTCAGCTGGAACAGGAGGTAAATATGTGAGACTGGCCTGGAGATGCTGCACCACCCCATCCCGAGAGCCCAGGCATCTTTCTGCCCTCCTTTCTATGACAAAAAACGCTGTCTGCCCTGTTTTTGGCAGGGTGGGGGGGATCTCTAGAGATAGGGTCTCACTGTGTAGTCCAGACTGGCCTTGAACTCGCAGTGATTCTTCTGCCTCTGCCTCCTGAGTGCTGGGATTACAGGTGTGTGCCACCAGACCTACAGCTGTAATTCATTGTTTATAACAGTTTATCAAAACCAGGTGCAGTGGAGCACACCTGTAATCTTAGCACTGTGGCAAGCTGAAGCAGGAAGATTACAAGTGTGCCCAGCTTGGGCAATTTACCAATTTAATGAGATGCTGTCTAAAAAAAGTAAAAGGACGGGATGTGGCTCAGTCTGAAAGCCCTGGGTTCAGTCTCCAATATAGAAAAAAGTTTATCAATCAGCTACAGGTAAACTGGAGGCTCCCCCAAAGCTGCAGTCCAGGTGAGCCCAGATTGTCCAGGACTTGGCAGAGCTATCTGATGACTAGTTGAGTCTTGTGACCCTGGGGCTGCTGCTGCAGCAGCTGGAGCTCCTGCAGAGACTCCCCCTCCCTATCAGTCCCTATGGTGATGCAGCAGTGTCTGTCCTGTCCTAGGCTGTGTGGCTGCTGGCCAAGCTGGGTGTGCAGAGCTTTCCCTCCCCAGTCACCGGCTCCGACTGCCAGTGCAACGTGGAGGTGAGTGGGGAAGGGACACTGTGCAGGGACCCTGCACCCCATGCAGGAATCCTTGAGGCCTCAGTCAGTGCCCTCTCTCCAGGTGGTCCGAGCTTTCACAGTGACACTGCACCGGCAGTGGCTGGCCGTGCGGAGGGCAGGGGGTGCCCCGAAGACGGAGCAGCAGAAGCACACCGTGCGCTGTCTGCGGGACACCGTGCTCCTGCTGCATAGCCTGTCTCAGAAGGACAAGCTCTTCACTGTGCACTGTGTGGAGGCACTGCATCAGTACGACCAAGTGATGCCAGGTGTTGGTGCCCTGATCCGAGGGCTCCCTGACGTGACCGACTGCGAAGGTGAGCCCACGGTGGCACTGCCACCCCAGCCCCCCAGGCAGCCTCCCGAGTGACAGCCTTTCCTGCCACTGGGAACTTTTCCCCCTGGTTCTTCTCTGAGTAACTATGCTGCACTCTGTGTTTATCTGTTGCGTTGGGCTGGCCAAGCCATGGTTTTTCTAGAAATACTCAGATCTAAATGGCCTTTGTGTCACTTTGCTTATAGTAGCTGAGGGAGCAAGAACACAATAAGGTGGAGAATGGTCGGTTCCTACATGTGCTAGGGGGAGAGGTGGGACCTGCCCGGCCCTCTGCTTTCCCGACTGTCTCACACAGAACCCTTTCATTCTGGCCAGAGGCAGCCGTGGATGACCTGTGTGGCATCGAGACAGACACAGATGACATGGAGATGGACTGTGGCTGAGGCCTGCACACCCAGCCATATAGCAGCACTAGCACCTTCACTTTCCTCAGCTTGTTACAGCAGCGCCTGAGTGTGTAGCAGCCACCTGTACACGCCTGCGATCCCAGCACTCGGGAGGCTGAGGCCGGGAGATGGCCATGAGCTAGCTCAAGGCCGGCCTGGGCTACAAAGCCAGACCATCTCAAAACTATATAATAAACAGACAAAGTAAAAGCAGTGACTAACCACGACTCTTGGAAATGCCAGCTTTGTTTCCTTTCCAGGCCTCACCTACTTGGCTTGGGGGATTTGGACCTGGAGGGATCCAGGGGGATTTGGCCCTGTCCTCCCCACCTCTTCCCTCCTCCCTGGCTGGTCTCCATAGTAATTAATCTGCCTTCAAGGGAGCCCTGCCCTGCCTGTGGAATTGTTTTGAGTCATGGCTTTGGGATGGGGCCCTGGGAATAAACCACTGTGTGGCAGGGAGAGGCAGCACTCAGTCTATTCCTAAAGCTGGAAGCTAGGAAAGTGGACCCAGGACTAGCCACGGAAGTATAGCCGGCTACCAGAGGTGCTTGCGCCCTGCCACCACTCCAAGACAGCCGGGTCCCGCTTCCACCAATGCCTTGAGGTGCCTGGGAGGGAACTGTGTTAGCCAAGAGAGGCGGAGCAGGCCTGCTGGCAGGCGGAGCAAGGGGGCAGGCTTTGCTCTCAGGCAGGCCAGTGGGTGGGCCCAGGTTAAGTTTCAGTTCCTGTCCTGCTGCTGCTGGCAGCAGGAAGAGCCCAGTGCCTGCCTGCCTGCTTGCGTGCTGACCTGTGTACCCACCCGCCCTGTAAGTACAAACCCCAGTGGGGCAGGGGAGGAACGCCATGGGTCTCTATACTGTGGGCCAGAGGGGCACTAGAGGGGCCAGACCCCGGCACAGACAGCCAAGTCTGTTTGGCCCACTGAGGAAACCACCGGATCCATTTCAGCTTCCTGCCCTGAAAGTGGGCCTTGGAGCTCCGGGACAGCACTTGACTATGCAGAGGCCTGAGGGGTGCTTCTGCCCACTCCCCATGCCACTTTCTGCCCTCTAGTTCTTTCCACTTCCCATGTGAACCAGCCCTAACCATACTCTTCCCCTGGCTCCGAGGCAGGTTTGTACCCCAGCATGGCCTCACCAGCCCTGCCCCCTGGACCCATGCAGACCCTCATCTTCTTGGACCTGGAAGCCACTGGTCTGCCCTTCTCTCAGCCCAAGGTCACGGAGCTGTGCCTACTGGCTATCCACAGATGTGCACTGGAGAGCAGCTCCCCCTGCCAGGGGCGGCCACCTGCAGTGCCCCCACCGCCCCGTGTGGTGGACAAGCTCTCCTTGTGCGTGGCTCCAGGCAAGGCCTGTAGCCCTGCAGCCAGCAAGATCACAGGTCTGAGCACAGCTGAGCTGGCAGCGCACGGACGGCAGCATTTTGACAAGAACCTGGTCACCCTGCTCCTAGCCTTCCTCCAGCGTCAGCCACAGCCCTGGTGCCTTGTGGCACACAATGGTGACCGCTATGACTTCCCCTTGCTGCAGGCAGAGCTGGCCATGCTGGGGCTTGCAGGTGCTCTGGATGGTGCCTTCTGTGTGGACAGCATCACTGCCCTGAAGGCCCTAGAACAGAGCAGCAAAACCTCAGAGCATGGCTCAAAGAGGAGCTACAGCCTGGGCAGCATCTACACCCGCCTATATGGACAGGCCCCAGTGGATTCGCACATGGCCGAGGGGGACGTCCTCACCCTGCTCAGCATCTGCCAGTGGAGACCATGGGCCCTGCTGCAGTGGGTGGATGCTCATGCTAGGCCCTTCAGCACCGTCAAGCCCATGTATGGGGTCACAACCTCCCCTAGAACCAACCCTAGACCATCTGCCACTCCAGCCTCAGCAACCCTGGCCACGGCCAGGAATACTAGTCCCAGCCTTGAAAGGAACAGAAAACTCATGGCTCTTCTTCCAACAGAGGTGGCTGGGACTCCATCTTGGGAAGGGCTACTGGCCCCTCTGGGGCTGCTGGCCTTCCTAACCTTGGTAATAGCCACACTGTATGGACTATCCCTGGCTGCACCTGGGCAGTAGACCGAGAAGGAAATTTTGACAAAGATCCCCTTAGCACTAAGTGGTAACCACCCCATACCCTCTTTGGTACTTGCAGCCTGAGACTATGGGGTACAGGACAGGTAGTCTTTTTTTTCCCCCCTCACTGTCCTAACAAGAACTCTGAGCCTCAATAAAATCAGGCAAAACACAGAAATGCAAATGATGGCTGGAGCTGGGCAAGGAGGTGCATGCCTGTAAATCCAGCACTCAGGAGGCCGAGGCAGGAAGATCACCGGGAGTTTTTGTAGTCAGGGCAGCACAACTACAAACTAAGACCCATTTCAATAAAAAGAAAAGTGGGTAGAAACAAAATCCTGCCCAAGGCCCAAAGCTCTGAATAAAGGACACAGCAACTCCAAATATTTGCGTTTATTATAAACAAGGGTGCAGAGCCCAGGCTCTCCAAAATACAACAGATACAAAGCTAAGACAGCTGGTAAGACATTAATAGTCACAAGAACTCCGAGGTATTCGAGTTGGGGCCAGAGCTACCACACAGGCCTCCCATCCCCTCACCCACTACTCCTCTTTGGTCCAGACAGCCCCTTGGCCCTGGTGTCTCCGCTGCCAGGACGAACTGTGACCTGGGTACTAGGGTTAGATATTCCATGAGGCTGCCATCAGGGCCGGCAGGACTGTCAGCAGTCAGCTTGTCCCCCTCTTCTGTAGATTCGTTCTCCACACATTTGAAAGCCTCACATCAGCTATCACATTTTAAAACAAATAGGCAAAATTTTTGGCTAAAAGTAACAGAAACACTGCAGGGAGGAGACCTGAGTGTGTTGGTGGACAGAGACCCCACTGCCCACCTGTGGCAGGGGCCAGGTCAGCAAGCGCAGGAAAGCTTCCCCATGGGCCTCTAGTCTTGAGAGCAGTGGCACCCAGGCAATCCCAGGGAGGCTGCTGGGACGGGGAGCTATCGAGTGGCTGGGACCCTGCCAGTGTTCCCACCTCAGGAGCTGACCAACCACCCATCGAGCATGGCACAGGCTCCAGGGAACAACCAGACATCTGCCCAAAGGACAGGGCCTCAGCAAGAGCCTACTGCTTGCCTGCCTCAGCCAAGGGCTCCCCAACCCCTGGGGACAAGCCATGGCCTCCAGCAACCATTCCCACAACCAGGACATGTGTGTGATGCCTCAAACAACTGCTATCCCAGGATGCCAGGTTGTGCCTAGTCACCCTGTGGTGAGCTGGAAAAGACTGCCCACTCCACTTTTCAAATCTGCTCGAGATTTCAGTGAATCTGCATAATTTCAAGTGAAGAGAACAGTTTAGTCCCAGCCCACCTAGTTAACATCAGAGGAAGCCACATGTCACATACAATGTACATAGGGTAGTAAAAAGTGTGCCTGCATAACACACACACACACACACACACACACACACACACACTCGCACGCGCACATACACAATCAAGTGGCAGCCAGAGAGGTGGGGTGCATTCAGGGGACTGCTTTCGGGGGATCCATATATGCTGGGTTGTATGGAGGCTGGCTGGCGGGGTAGGGTGCAGCTGCACCTCCTGAAAGTAGAGAGCACACTGGTTGGTTGTGGGCATGGTGGGCTGCCTATGGGCAGTGGAGGGTGTGGGGGCCAGGCAGGACCACAGAGCCCACATGATACTCACCAGTCAAGGTCTCGTGGTAGGCTGGAGGCCCCATGGGCTGGGCCGGGTAGGGTGGTGGGTACTGTGTTGAGTAGGGTGCTGCTGGCATTCCTGGCTGGGGGGGCATGGGGTGGTAGCCCTGGTACGTCGGTCCAGGATAGCTAGGGGGTGCACTTGGAGGCTGAGGGTAAGGGGCGTGCACCACGGTGGTGGCTGTGGTGGTGGTCACGATGGCTGCAAAAAGAATCCCAGTCAAGATGCACTAGCTTCCCAGGTCTTGAGGCAGGCCCGCCCTCTGTCCCTCTGGCGTAGCCAAGCAGGGGCCTGGTCAACTCCTCTTGCCCACCCAGGGATCTGCAACTGCATGCAAGGGGAGTCATGAGATGGGGACAGTGCTTACGACGCGGCCGACGGCACATCTTGTACAAACAGCAGCAGGAGCAAGTGAAGCAGATGATGATGGTGACAACAGAGAGCACGAAAATGGTCAGGCCGATGGCCACGGTGGCTCCGAACCTGCCAAAGAGCTGGTCAGGCCCCGCCCCTCCCCAAGCCCATCCCTTACCCATTCCCAGGGGCAGCCCCCTTGCCCAAAGGGCTTCTGGGCGACGCAGATACACCAACATCCTGGTTGCAGAACTGGAACCTATTTTGACCTCACTCCCCTCACGTATTAGATGGGGTCATTTGGGAGTCTTCAGTGCATGGAGGGTGCCCACTCCCACCAGCACACAGGTGTCAAACATGCATCAGAAGTCAAGGACCGTGGGACCTAAGTTAAAGCATCACAATGCCTGAGAGCCCAGCCCAGTATGAGGGGCAGCTCTGGAAGACAGACTGAGGAAGCATGAGAATGAAGAGGGACATAAGCCTTACAGAGCCAGCAGCAGCGGAGCAGGAAGAGGCCTGAAGTGCCATCTTCCCACCTCCACCCCCACCCCACCCCACCCACCAGTACAGCTAGGCTACATCCGCAGGGCAGGGTTCAGAGCAGATGGGAGGACACAAGAGGGCCAGGCAGAGGCAACAGGCTTTCGGGAAGTGGAAGTGAAAACTACTGAGGAACATGGAGCCTGCCCTTGCCAAAATTTTTGCAGGCCCTGGGAGGGGAGTTCATCATAACTGACTTCCAAAGGCAGACATTTCTATATCCCCTTATCACCTGAGGCCAGCCAGAAAGGGTGTGGGTCCTGCCCCACCCCACCCTTCCAGGGGGCTTCTAGCTCCCTGGTGTGAGCAGCCCAGGGATTCAGCAGGGCCCAGCCCTCAGCTATGGGACAGAACTGAGAACAAGCCTTCTTTCTTGAGGCTCAAAAAGCACCCATCCTAGCTCCCAGGAAGGAGCCATTGCCTGTGGCCCAGGGGGAGCACCCAAGACAGACACAGGTGCCTGCCCAACAGAGTCACAGAGCCAACAGGAGCTGTGCAGCAGCTGTGCGTCTCTGTCTCTCTAGGAACGGCATTCCAGGAGCTCACCCCATGTTAGCCTCTGCCTCCTCTCTGAGGTCTCCTGCAGGCCTGGACTTTCCCTCTTTCCATCGGGCCACTCAACCTCCTCCCCTTTCAGGGAAAGAGAAAGCGAATCTCCTCTCTCGTCCTTCCCATCCCTGACGTCAGCGGCAGGAAGGAGCGGTACACAGGCCTGCAGCCACCCTCTTAAAGACACAGCCTGGCCCAGACCCAGGCCCAGGCCCAGGGGAACAGCAGAAGCAGCAGTGGGAAGACATCCAGGAGGCGAGGAAGGGAACCAGGGCACTGGCTGGCTGCCTGCTGGCCAGTGCAGCTCCTTGAAGTCTCTTCAGTGTGCCTGAGTCACAGCCTGACTCAGCCCAGCCCCAACTGCCTGATCACTGCATGCACACTCAGTCTAGCCTGTCCCCTCTCTTTCTCTTCTCCCACCGGCAAGCTCCCCAAGGTCCTATCTGGCCTCAAGATGCAGCTGCCACCTCCAGCCCTGCCCTGCCAGGTCTGACCAAGTCATTCCTCCTCAAATGCCTGTCTGCAAAGTCTCGGGCTCTGGGAACCACACAGGAGTCTGCTTTATAATTACACACTAAAGTGTGTGTGTACCTGTTTTTCTGTGTACTGTAGGTGCCAATTAAAAAAGAAATCTGGGGTTTGTCCAAATAGTAAAATTTACAATAAAGCAAATTTCAGTCTTTAACAATTTAAATAAAACTCGCCGGACTCACAAAGCCTGGGATGGTCCAGGAGGCTCACACTCCCTCTTGGGCCACATCATCTTGCTTTCAGCATTTGAAAGCACCAGGCTGTGCATCTCAGGCCCTGTCCTAGGTGGGCTTCCCTTGAAGGCCCTGACTCATGTACCCCCTGATGAAGAGGAGGAAGGTAGAGGCCTCAGTCTTCATCCAGACCGGTCCAGGGTGCTGGGGTGTGCAGGTGGCAAGCAGCCGCACTCACAGAAGCCTTTCCTAGATTCCACTGCAGCCGGGAAAGCCACAGAGCAACGAGACACATGGAGACTCTGACCCCATCTGGAGCCCATGCCTTCTTCCCCCAAGGGGCAAACAGGCCCATGGGAGCTTCCTCTGGTAGTGGCTTCTAGCCCCACAGGAGAGGCACCAGAAGCTGTGGGACAGATCCAGCCCAGAAAACACGCGTGTGTGGCTGCACACCCTCTCTGTCCACTCAAGCATGTGTCACAACACCTGTTGCAGTGCCAACAGGCACTGGCGTAAGGAGACAGGGCTGCTCCCTGGAACCCTGAGAGAGTGAGCATCTTCACACAGGAACCATGACCCACAATCTCTGACATGTAACAGTGGCACTCTGCTGTCTCATGCCCACATTATCACCCTGCTGCCACCATCGCCCATCACTGTCATCACTCCATCACCATGCAAGTACCACCCTCTCTACCACCTTCCATGGCCTCCACTGCCCCATCGCCATCCAAGTGTAGTCCAGCCACCTATCCTCCACCCCCATCACTATGCCCACTGGTCACTTGCTGCCCACCTCTTCACCTCTGTGGACATGGACCCAGCTGGGCCCCAGACACCCCCATAATCACCCCCCCCCAGGACACTCGATTCTCAGCTTCCCTATGGAAGCAAGGTACAAAGGTCCTCACAGTCAGTAGACTGCACCCCCTGCCTCCACACCCCACCCACCCTCACAGACCTCACCTGAGCCCACCTGAGGCAGATGCACACAGCCCATAGATTTATTTACCCTGACATGGAGTCACTGTCAAAGCTGGATCCAAATCTCAGCGGTGAGCCCAGCTGCTCCCAAGGCTCCGTGGGGGTAGACACACTGCAGAGAGGAAAGCCCGTGAGGAACACGTCAAGCCCCACCTGTGTACAGGTGTGAACACGCTACCAGGCACACACACAGCACACGATCCCTGGTACCAGTAAAAACGAAAAAGCCAAAAAAAAAAAAAAAAGAAGCTAACTGAACATACAAAACTGCCCAATGTGGTGGTTCACGCCTGTAATCCCAGCACTCCGGAGGTTGAGGCAGGAGGATCATTGCAGCTTCAAGTCCAGCCTGGGTTACAAAGTGAGCTCAAGGCCAGCCTGAACTGCACAGGGAGACCCTGCCCTATCAAAAAAATTAAAAACTAAATTGTATTAAATAAGCAATCATGAAGGAAATTAACAAACATCAAACTGATGATAAAAACAACAACAAAAACAAAATCTGATGATAAAAATACTATAGCTCAAAAATCATGATGAAGCCAGGCACAAAGGCTGAGATAGGAGGATCACCAAATTCAAACCCAACCTAGAGAATCTGATTTAGCAAGATTGTCTCAAAATAAAGATAACAAAGGACCGGAGAAATAGCACAGTGAAAAAGCCTAGGTTCAATTCCCAGGCCTGGGGAAAAGAAAAAACTCAGTGTGAAGCTGAAGTTGGGCATGGTAGCATATGCCTATAATCCCAGCTACTGGGGAGGCTGAGGCAGGAAGACCAAAAGTTCAAGGCCAGCATGGTCAAATTATCAAGACAGTGTCTCAAATTTATAAAGGGCTGTGCTGGAGATATGGCTGAACAGCACAAGCACCTGCCTGGCAAGCACAAGGTCCTGTGTTTGATTCCCAGTAGAAATAAAAAGAGAAGTCATTAAAAAAATTCATAAAGGGCTAGGAATGTAGCTCAGCCATAGAGCACCCTGGGCTCAATTTCTAGCACCACAAAATAAAAACATACAGAAGTAAAAACCAAGCAGATGGAGGACTCAGAAGTTGTGTAACAAGTTCAAAGACAGCCTAGACTACATAGCAAGAGCCTCTCAAAAAACCGAAAAATAAACAATCAGTGTGAACCCTCCCTGGAGAGCATGCTGAGCTCCACAGTGCCCCAAGTGATTCGGAAAATACAACAGCAGCAGGCACATGACCAAACTTTTCAGGAACAGTGAAGGATATGAACAGCCGATATGAACAGAAAAGAACAGTGATAACAGACAATAAAAACATCGCAGGAGCTTACATACAGAGTTACCAGAAACATTCAAATAATAACATGTATGCTACTTAAAGAGCAGGCGTTAAGACTGAGGAGGACCATAAAGAAACTAAAGAAAAGACTGAGCTGGGTGTTGTGGTGCACAACTGCAACTCCAGCATTCAGAAGGCTGAGGTAGGAGGATCTCTGTGAGTCTGAGGTCAGCCTGAGCTATACAGTGAGTTCAAGGCCTGGACTACACTGGGAAACCCTGTTTCAAAAACAGAGAGAGGAGAGAGAGAGAGAATTAAAATTAAAGATGCTCAGCTTATTCATATTGCAGAGTCGTAAGCGTGTAGTGGGAAAATCATCAGGACAGATTAGACCACACATTAATCAGTCACCCTGGCAAAAAACCCTGCCAGGCCAGGAACTGTGAGAACTGAGGAAGGAAGTGAAGGAACATGGCTGGCTTCTTAGACCACATAGCACCTGAACGTGAGCCATTCATTCGGCTGTGACCCTGTCTCCCAGGGCCTCTGTCTTCTTCCGGTACTATTCTTCTCCAGGACAAGGGAAGGAAGGACTCTGAGGACAACTCTGGTGCTATCAGAGCTGCTCCCTCTCCACAGGAATGGCACACATAGGTTGGGAGGTCGCAGGGCAACAGCGCAGCCCACACTGTAGAACCGCGTCACTGCAGAGCTGTGGACGCAGCCGCCAGAAGGCGTGGAACACAAGCGAGGGTCATTCTCAACATGAAAGTCAGTCTGCTAGGGTTGGGGCTTGGGGGGGACCAGTCATTTCCTATCAATGTCTCACTTTGGAAATGGAAATATTGATCAGCTTTTTTTTTTTTTTTTTTTTGTTCTTTTGAAACGGTGTCCTGCTCTGCAGTTCAGGCTGGCCTTGAACTCACAGCAATCCTCCTGCCTTAGCCTCCTGAGTGCTGTGATTATAGGCATGCACCAACATACTCAGCATCTATTTCCTTCTTTTGACAGTCTTACTATGTAGTTCAGGCTGGCCTTGAACTCACTTTGTATCCTATGCTGGCCTCGAACTCACAGCCAGAACAGGTGATCCTCCTGCCTCAGCCTCTGAGGGCTGGGATTACGGGTATATGCCACCATACCTGACAGCTAACACCTGTCCTACCATGCTATGCTGGAAGTGTAGGGACAAGGACCTGTAGCTGATCTTTTTTTTTTTTTTTTTTTTTTTTTTTTTGGTACCAGGGATCAAACTCATGACCTCATGCTTGCCAAGCAGGCGATTGTACCACTGAGATGTCTCAGGCCCTTGTAGCTAATCTTGACTAGGAGTTAAAAACAAACTTTACTAGAGAGATTCCCCTGGAAAGCACATCAAAGATAGGCGCAAAAAAGGAAAAGAAAAAATAAAATAAAGAAAGGCACTAAATGGCCTTGAGACTTGCATCAAGGGACCAGAAAAAGAGCTGACAGGCAGGACACACAGAGAAAGCCAGGTGCACGAATAAGCCTCCCCACCTCAATAAAATGTTAGAAAAGCAAAGACATTACGTAGTTACACCTATGCATTAACATACATACTTATGCACTTGTGTGCTCACTCCAGAGGCAAGAGAATATTCACTCTAGGGTCGTTAACGAGTACAATAGCTATTCCAATGCCTTTTACCCCCATACAAACTCTAACCAAGGTCAAGGCACCCCCCTGCCAACTTGCCAGCCACCCCAAAGACGAGGCCTTAAAAGATGTGTCAAGGACCAGTAAACAGACAAAAAGCTACGCACAGATGACCAGAAGAAACGTCAGGCAGGAAGAAGTATCTGAGGCTAATCCAGGTGTGACTCCACTCATCCCCCCATAAAAACAGCTGAGACCAACAAATGCCAGGGATATAGCTCAGTGGCTTAACTGCCTGTCTGGCAAGTGCAAAGTCCCGAGTTTGAATCCTAGTTAAGAGAAAAACAAAACAAAAAAACCCAGCTGAGATCAATGGGCTTACAGGTCTTGGGTCTTTGGGAAGCCCCCCTACCCTGATTCCTTCTTATCAGAGTAGCTATTTATCTTCTCCTTTCTCCCTCATTTTCCTCTTTACAAATAAATGGTCAATCTCTTGCTATACTTCTACTACTGGGGCTGAGTTACAGTCCAGCAGGCTCCTTGGACAACAGGGCAGCAGGGCTGCATCCCTGCATGCAACAGAAACAGAATTTATCTCGCTCCACAGGTTTCCTACCCTGCAAGAAATTCTGCTGCGGGGTAAGTCTCACCTTGCATCTTACCATACTTGATTTTAATAACACTAATTTTAGATGAGAACTGATAAAGGGTGAATGAAACTTTCAGGCTATTGCAATGATCCGAATGTATTTTGCACATGAGTGTGAAGGATGTGAATGGTTGGGGCCAAGCTGAAAATGCTGTTTACTGAACATGTGTATCCCCATCCCCCAAATTCATATTACAGCCCCGCCTATGATGGCACGTGAAAGTAGGGTCTTTGAGAATTCAGTGGGTTTAGATGAGGTCATGGTAGAATCTTTATGATGATGGGGTCAATGCCCTTGTAAAAAAGATGTTTCAACTGGGATTTAGCTCAGCAGCCTAAGCACCTGCCTGGCAAGTGTGAGGTCATGAGTTCAATCCCTGGTACCAAAAAAAAAAAAAAAAAAAAAAAAGATGTTTTGATGGCACACACCTATAATCCCAGCACTTCGGAGGCTGAGGCAAGAGGATTGTTCCATATTTGAGAACAGTCTAGGTTACAAAATGAGCTCAAGTCCAGCCCAAACTGCATAGCAAGACCCTGTCTCAAAAAAAATGATTTTAAAAAAAAGATGTTTTGAAATATTTATACATTATACAGTCCTAAATTGAAGTAATTACTACATGACTGAATTAAATAAAAAATTAAAGGAAAAATATTTATAATATCAAATTTCAGAAAGGATGTAATAATCCCTGCAGGATGGATGACGGGCATAAAAATGGCATAACTGCTGGGCGTGGCGGTGCACCCCTGTAACCCCAGCACTAAGGAGGCTGAGGCAGGAGGATTGACACAAATTCAGGGCCAGCCTGATCTATGCAGCAAGACTCTTGTCTTTAAAATTAAACTGGCACAACTCTACTGGAAAGCTGGTCAGAAGCACCTGCCAAAACTGAGCATGTGCACCAACAACAGCACTCTAGATACATAACCAAAAAAGTATGTTCGTTTTACCAAAAAGATATGAAGAAAAACCAGTCAGACAAGGTGGCAACTTCCTATAATCGTAGCTCCTTAGGAGGCTGGGGCAGGAGGACTGCAAATTGAAGACCAAAGTGGGCAACACAGCAGGAACCTACCTCAAAAAAATGGTAATGGAGTTGATGTGGTGATCCACATCTGTCATCCCAGCATTCTGGGAAACTGGGAAACTGGGAGGCTTGCAAGTTTGACCCTGGCCTAGGCAATTTGCCTATCTCAAAATAAAAAAATAACACAGGGCTAGGATGTAGCCCTCTGAGAAGGCCCGGTGTTCATTCCTAGTACCACAAGAGAAAAAGACAGGGAGAAAGGATGGGAAAGGGGAGAGAAAAAACAATAACATTGTTTTAAAGGGCTGGAAATGTAGTTCAGTATTCAAACCCCAGTGTTCAAGCCTAGAACTCCATCCCCACTACTAAAAAGGAGGGAAAAGAGTGGGGAGAGAAAACGTAGGGGCTGGAGATGTAGTTCTGTAGTCAGTGCTTGCCTAGCATGCACAAAACCCTATGTTCCAGGCTGGCCTTGAACTCACAGCAATCCTTCTACTTCAGCCTCCTGATTGCTGGGATTACAGCCAGGTGCCACCATGACTGCTTTGAAGCCCAGGGTTTGATTCTCAGCATGGAAAAAAAAAAAAAAAAAATCCCATTACTTGGGAGGCTGAAGCAGGAGGATTGCTTCTAGTTTGAAGCTAGCCTGGACTACAGGGTGAGTTCAAAGCCAACATGAACTCCATAGTGAGACCATATCTCAAAAAAATTAAAATTAAAATTAAATAGAGAGAAGTTTGTTTTTGTTTTTTTGAGACAGGATTTCACTACATAGTCTAGGGTAGCCTTGAACTCCCTAGGTAGCCCAGGCTGCCCTCTGACTTGCAGTGATCCTCCTGCCTCTTCCTTTCAAGTACTTGGATTATAGACCTCATAGGCATGAATCACCACACCTGGCTGACAGAAGTAAATTCAGTAAGGTGTCTGGATACAACTTTGATTTGTGAGCCAACTGTGGTGGTGCACATATGTAATCCCAGCACTTTGGAGGCTGAGGCAGGAGGATTGCAAATTGTATAGTCCAGCCTGGGTGACAGCCTAACCTGGACCACACTGGGATCCTCTGTGTCAAAAAAGACAAATGAAACCAAAACCAAAAAAGCTTCAAGCAAACTAGGAATAGCAGGGAACTTCCTCAATCCAGGAGAGAGACCTGTGCAGAAGCCACAGCTTGCATCACATCCGTAGTGAAATACTGAACACTCACCCTAAAACTGGAGAAAGAGAGCTGTGTGCATTTGGCTCATGCAATGAAATAGGGAAAAGTAACAAAGGCATACAAAAAAGAAGTAAACGATAGAAAGATAAAAAGTAAAAATTTTCTTTTAAAAATAAGAACTTGAAGTGCTCTAAGGTTTGAGTTTTTTGCATGTGGGTCTCCGGTTGCTTCAGGATATTTATTGAAGGTACAACCCTTTCTCCACTTAACTGCTTTTGCATCTTTGCTGAAAATCAACTGTCTGCTATGTGGTTCTTCATATGGGTACCTTGGTGGTCCGTCAATCTTGATATCAATGTTTTGTCATGAGTGGTGTAACTTTTTGATAAATTATGGGATTGAGGAGGGTTGGAGCTCTAATGTTGCTTCTTCTTCTTTTTTTTTTTTTTTTTTTTCTTTTTTATCGGTACCGGGGATCGAACTCACGACTGCCTGCTTACAAAGGAGGCGCTTATGCCGCTGAGCTAAATCCCCAGCCCCTAATGTTGCTTCTTTATCAAAGTTGTTTAGACTAGTCTGGGTTTTTTGTATTTCTACAGAACTGTAAGAATCAAAATGCTAATTTTTATGAAAAATGATGCTGGTATTTTGATAAAGGATTGTGTTTTCTGATCTTTACTATTTTCTTCTATTTGTTTTTGGTTTTACTCTGTCTTTTATTTCTAATTTCTTAAGGAAAGATATGAGGTTATTTCATAACTCACATGGTGGCATTACAGGCATATGCCACCATATTTCAAAACTTTCCTCTTTTCTAATTAATGTACTTGGTGTTAAAAATAAATAAAAGAATATAAAGTAATCCAAACACAGAATGTCAAAAAGAAAATACAGTAAAAGAGACAATTAGCACAATAAAACAGCTATGACAAGTCCCCAATATCAACTGTACTGCGCTGGATCACCTTTTTTTTAAAATCAGTACCGGGGATTGAACTCATGACCATACACTTGCAAGGCAGGCACTTTTGCCACTGAGCTAAATCCCCAGCCCCTCACTACATCACTTCTAACTGAATCACTTCTAACGGTGCTCGGTGCTCTGTATGGAACCCAGGGCTAGGTACACACTACACCAAGCTACAAAGACCACGAGTTACCTTTAAATGGGACGACGCCGGGGAGCTTGGCTCAGTGGTAGTACACCTGCCTGGTGCAAGGTCCTGAGTTAGAGCCCCTGGACCATGCATACACTCAAAAATAAAGCTGCTTCTACCTTAATTCTCATACACACAAACAAACAAACAAAAAAGACCTAAATTAACTCAGTGTTAACCATTTAAATGGAATGAATGTTCCTGCTTAGAAAAAATAAAAAATAATTACCAGGCACAATAAAAATTTTAAGAATCAGTGCACACATGTAAGCCCCAACACTGAGGCTAAAGCAGGATTGTGAGTGTGAGGCCATCCTGGGTTCCATAGTAAGTTTAAGTCCAGACTGGTGAGACTCCAAAAAACTTAAAAATAAAAATAAATGTTTTAAGTTAAAATTGCCGCTACTGATTTGCAAAAGATAACTGTAAAATATAAGGAAAATCACAGACTGATAGTAAGAGGGTACTGTACAATCTGTCAAGCACCTCAAGCTTGGCCAACAGGGGCGGGGCACAGCCACCCCAAGACCACTGGAAAGTCGTTAGTCCATGACCATGTGGCCATCTCTGACCTGGCAGCACCACGACTGTGCAGACTTCCAAGAAATTCTTGCAGGTTCCATATAAGGAAGATGAGGAAGTACAAGGATGCCCAAGATGGTCACTTGGGATGGGACAGCTTGGTCTCACACCACTGAGAATGATACAGCTGTGACTGGGCCCAGGGCAGTCGTGCACAGGGCAGTGGGGACCAGGCTCACAAACACCCCTCCTGATGCAAAGTATGAGGGTTTACTGTAACTCTAAAAATGTACTCATAAAACAATGTAGACTTTGAAAGGCACAGTCAAAATGATACACTTGCCAGGCACGGTAACACATGTCTATACTGAAATCCCTGCAGTGGGAGACTGAAGCAGGAAGGTCACAACACAGCAACTTAACAAGACTGTCTCAAAAGGCACACGCTTTGAGCAGGGCAGCCTGGCTACACCTGGGCTTGGAGGGAAATGGAACGGTCATGGGGGACTAAAGTAAATGAGCTGAGAAGTGTGACCTCCTAGAGTGTCTGCACCTGTGACTAAAGAAAGAAAACACAGAATGTGACACAGAGTTGCTCCTCAGTCCCAGCCTATAACCTGTGTGCAACGTACATGTATGGGCTGAGCCAGGACACAGTGCAGCTACTCCTAGGCATACATTCACACTCACAGCCGGGTGCACACACACACTGCAGGGAACCCTAGTGCCCCACTGCCCACCTTGCGGATGTGTCAGTAAGGTGTCCACACAGCAAGAGCCTTGGGCTGAGCAGGTTTCTCCACTCCGATGCTCAGCCAGCATCTAGGGTGCTGAGAGGGCACAGGCCACTTCCCCCACCAGCCAAACCCACCGATGCACCAACCTGGCCATGGACACGGCACACTCATCGTCAGTCCACACCAGTCTCTTTAGCACATCAGAGCAGCAGTATTGGTTGGAACAGGAACCACAGCAGAAGTCGGGACATAGCCTACGGAACGAGCTCCCGCCAAGGACAGCTGGGCACACCTCACCGGCACCATGGGCTATAGCAAAAAAAAGCATACCTGTTGTGCCCTGGCTACAGCACCAGCCCTGACCAACACTGTAGGTTCCTGGCAGTCACCAGGCAAAGCTGCCTTAGGTCACCCTACCTATGCACACCACCCCCTCAGCCTTCCCATACCATGGCTGTCTGCATCAGGAAAGAGCCCCTCTCCTCTGCCAGTACACTGGCCTTTGAAGAGACAGTGACCTTTCTCACTGTGAGCCTGACTAGGCTGCACCTGGCTTCCCAGCTCCCACGTTCCAGGAACTAGCCCCAGGAACCAGCCCGGGTTCCTCAGAGCAGGCTGCTACACTGCAGAGGACCTTAATCTACTCCAACTTTCCAGCCTCCCACATTCTGCCCATTTTAGGTCTCTTCCCATCTCCCACCTTCCATTCTATTCATCCTTGGGGCCTTTGTTTCTCCAGGCATCTGCAAACACAGCTAAATGGTAACACCTTGACCACCTACTGGGGACCAGAGGCTGGATCTTCCCATTAATTTTCATCCCCTGTCCATCACTCAGCCTTAGGAGCTTCATCCAGTGGATACCATAGTCCTGGTCTGGGCCTGCAGCAGGTGACCAGGAAATGTCTGTGCTCTCTGTGAGACCATCACAGGGCTCTCAGCCACAGAGGTGAGAACTAGTGACATCCTTGCAAGTCTCCTGCTGAGATTATGCCACGGCAAGTGCTGAAAACAGCCAAGGACTCTGGGTAATCACAAAGTCTGCAAATCTAGAAGACCTCTTCCCTTGCATCCTTAGGCTTCATGAGCACAGCCCAGGAGCCCACAGCAGGAAGGGATAGTACCTGATTCTACTGAGCTGAGCCCACACCCAGTGGATTTCCCGGGTCCAGCAAGGCTCTGGTGACTGAGTAGGCTGAGGCCAGGCCTGAGGCCATCCCTAGAAACAGCACTCTGAGTATAGTCCCTGTGACTACATCCTACATTCTCAGGACAGTGCAACACTGGCCGGGACTGCCAGGAGATCAAGGCCCAAAGGCAGACAGAGCCAGTGACCTCCTAGATACAAAAATAACGGAACAGCAGGGTGCAACAGCTAGCTCCAGACAAAAGTCTGCTCAGGCGAGCTGGGTGTGGCGGCACAAGCCTATGTAGTCACAGCACTGGGAAGGCTGAGGCAGGATTGCTGTAAATTCAAGGCCACGCTGAATTTCATAGCAAGCCCCTGTCTCAAAAGAAAGCAAGCAAGAAAAAAATAAAGTCTGTTCTGGTTAAGTGTGCACCAGCAAGCCCCGTCTGGCTCCCTGACCACGTGAAAGCAAGCACCCTGTGTGTGCATGGCCCTGCTGTGGCAGCTGAGATGACCACCACCACCACCACCACCACCACCCCACCCCACCCCACCCCCGCCCGCGCCTGTTTCACAAAGCAGCTGCATGACACGCAGCAGACACACACCTGGAGCAGGGACCGTCTCCCTCACTGAAGGGGTCAGCTGTCCTGGACTTTGGGCTCCCCTTCTCACTTCTCCACCCCAGGTCCTCAGGAAACAACGCCTCCCCTTCCAGGAAACCATCAGCCCCAAGGGGCCTTGGCTTCTCCAGGTGGCCAGGGACCCGTCTAACGCCAACCCCCAGGAGGCCCGGCTGGCCTCCCAAGCCCCTGGGCGCCTCGCGCATGTCCAGGCACGCCCGGTGGGGGCGAGGAGGGCCCCAGCCGGAAGCAGATGCCAGAGTGTCGGGGGCGCGGGGACCCCGCCAGCCCTGACGGCAGGGCGAGCTGAGCTGAGCTCGCCGCCGAGCCCGGGCGCACATGGGGCCGCGGCCTGGGCTGGGCAGGGTGGGCCAGGCGCCACGCTAGGGTCGCGACGGTCCGGGCGCTGTCGCCAGGCAGAGGGGCGCAGCTGCCTGCCCCCCGGGACCTCCCCAGCTCACCCCCCGGGGGCGCCGGCGCGAGCAGCAACAGCAGCCAGAGTGTCCAGGGCGCGGGGGACGGCGCGGCCATGCCAAGGGCGGCGGGCGATGGTGGACCGACGGGAGGACTGGGGCGGTGGGACAGACGGCGGCCGGTCGCGGGCGGGAGGTCGGGCTCCCTCCCTCCAGGCTCCGCCCGCCTTCCCGGAACCCCCGCCCCGCGGGAGGAGGGGAGCGGCCGTCCGCGTCCTCGCCCTGCGCCCGGCGGCGGCCCGGGAAGGGGCCAGGCAGGCCCGGGCAAGAACCCGGCTTCCAGTGGGCGCCCCAGAAGCCAGCTCTTCTGCAAAGCTCCCCAAGACCCGGCTCTCAGCACAGCCCGTCCGAACCCCACCAGGACGGCCGTGTCCCGTGCAGCCCAGCCCTGGCTCAGACTTGCTCTGGAGCCCCCGCCTCGCTGGCGAGCTGGTGGCTCCCAGGATCCGTGTGCAGGCCACCCTCGGGCACAAAGCTGACAGGCCACCTGCCCCTCACTATGGAAAGAGTCCCGCACAGGCCCTGGCGAAGGGGCTGAGCATTCTACCCTGCCCCACCCTGCACCTGGACCAGCTAGCCGAGGTACTCAGTGCAGAAAATAATATAAAATGCTGAGCTAGTGTGTACGACCTGAGTACCACCACGTCCTTCTCTTCTAGGGGTACCCTAGGCTATAGGCTTAGAATAGGGAGAGGATGACTGCTTCGAAATCCAGCACTCCGGGAGGCTGAGGCAAGATTACGGGTTCTAGCCAGCTTGGCCAATTTAGTAACTTCACAAAACCCTGTCTCAAAATAAAAACAAAAGGGCTGGAGATGTAGCTCAGTGCAAAGACCTTGAATTCAGTCCCGGATACCCCCCCTGAACTGCCCTCCATAGGTAGAAAGCCTGGGTCTCCAGTAAGCATCCAGCATGCCCTGACTGAGAAGTTGAAAACTCAGTTGCTGGGGACACACACAGGAGGCGGGAATAGCACTGTCCCTAGGCAGACTGCTCACCCCTTCTGCACCCCATCCCACAGTTCAGATTGAACTCAGGGCCTTAGTACTGACCATTACATGGTCAGTCCTTTCTAGGGTCTAGGTCATTAAATTGTCCAGCTGCAATCTGACTTGAGATCCTCCTGCCTCGACCTCCCAGAGCACTGGGATTAGAAGCACATGCCACCATGCTCAGGTTCCAACCAGGGTGCTAAATGAGGGGGCCTGAGTCTTATCCCCTTTGACACAGCCTTGTCCCTCGATGTCTTCTGAATCCACTGTCGGAAACTAGATAAAGCCCAAGTGTGCCTTTCCCTGGAGATGGCCACCACTTGCTCCTCTCCATGTCCTCCTTCCCCCCAGCCATCCTCGAGAACTCTCCAGAGGCTGCTTCTGCCCCACAGTAACTGCTCCTGCCATTCTCCACCATGCACAAACTGGTTTTATCCCTTGGTTTTCCAACTGACATCCTAAGAGTGGTCGTGTCACCTCTCACTCCTCCAGCCTCCACCACCAACACCACCCCACCCCACCCCCCACACCCACCCCCCACCCCCGCACCTCTCACCTGTTCTTATCCCTTTGACTGTTCTAGTATTGGGCTTACTCACTCCTTGTCAGCCCATGGCTCACACATAGCCTAGGTGAGACCTTCATATGAAACATGAAGGGGTTCCAGGACTGGCCCAGACCTGTGCATGAGCAAGACAAGCTGATGGCCAGGAACTCCCCAGAGACTCAGTAATTTCAAGCCTGCAACCAAAGCCAGAAACTGTTACATCCACAATCTGTCTAGGGAAGCTGGCCCCTCCTATGCAGATAGAACTTTGCCAAAAATAGGAATCTCAGCCAGGTTGAGGGAACCCAAATCTGGGCAAGAACAAATAACGTGAGGACCCAGACCAGCTGGACTAACTCAGAATAAAGAAGAAGAAGAAAAACAAACAGGTCACAGAAGCAGGATGGATGTTGGTGGTAGAAGGTTGGGGTCTGGGTGGGGTCCCACTAGGTTCCAGTAATCTTTCCTGCTTGCCCCTGCAGGCCAGACAATGGAAAGGGCTTTCTCTCCAGCCCTGGGTGCTACATCAGCCCTAGGTAGTGCACTACCCTGCCCACAATCTTGGAAATAGCAGTTTTAGTAAATTCTCCTCAAATCCTGCTTGGTAAGAACAACTGTTGGCTGCTGGGGTTTTGATTAGAGTTTGTAGATGGGTGCTCTGTGTGGGACTGGCAGGTGAAAGCATCATCCAGTGATGCTGAGAAAGCCCAGTGCTCCACGGCATAGGGCAGAGTTGGTGCTTCAGCCCAGGACTGGCTGGCTACACTGGCTAAGCATTAACGAGTGAGTGTGTGTGAACGTCTGAATGAAGTTGCACACCAGGGGAGAAGGTTAGGAGAGCCGTATTGGGAATAAGCAGGAGGGTTCCTGAGTGGGTGGCTTCATGGCCCTCAATTCAGAGCCAGTTAGAGGTAAGCAGAGCACAGGGCCTGCTCAACTATGCAGCAGCCACCAATTACAGATGGCTATGTGAATTTAAAATGACCAATTGGAACTCAATCTTCTAACCCCATCCCTCAAAAATGTAAGATTCACAGGAAACTGGATTTTAGATTTCTCAAAACTCTGGACTTAGTGGGCAGTGAATGACTTCCCTGTAGTAGCGGGGAGCTGTATCCCATGTTGCCTGAGTGATGAGGAAAACAAAACCTTGGGAAAGCAAAGCCTAAAAGCAAAACCAACAGCTTGCACAAAGCTACTGTCTCGTTCCATTTTTGTTATCTTGCTTGTACAGCCTGCCTCAAACCTCCCGTGTTGAAATGCACCCCTATTCTGCCGCGCGCTCTCTCTCTCTCTCTCTCTTTCTCTCGGCCTGTGCATTGCCACTTGAAACCTCTAATAAGACAAAAAGCAAAAAGCTCGGGGCTCAGACTTTAAGGCAAGCAGCTCCTCTGGGCCCATGGGCATAATAAAGTTTGGTTCTCTCTACCTCTCCAAGTGCTGCTCAGTTTCTTTGCCTTCCATAAATCTAAAACTGCTGTAACGTTTGGAAGTTCATCATCCTTGATCTAATGGCCTATCTACCTAGCTCACTGTCTATTCTTTTTTGAGTGTTTGTATGAGGGGGGGTTGTTTGTTTGTTTTGTTTTTGATACAGGATCTCATTCATGCTGATTTAAACTCACTATGTAGGCTGGTTCCCAACTCTCAGTGATCCTCCTGCCTCAGCCTCCCAAATGCTAGGATTATAGGCATGCCCAACCACACCCAGGATGTCTATTCTTTTTTTTTCTTTTTTCTTTTTATGGGTACCAGGATCGAACTCACAACCGCCTGCTTGCAAGGCAGGTGCTTATGCCGCTGAGCTAAATCCCCAGTCCTGGGATGTCTATTCTTATTTTAATTTTTATCAGTCTGACCCAACTCTATCTCAGGCCCTTTCCCTAGCTACCTGCCTTACTCATAAACTATTTTCTACACAAGGGACTTTGCCATTCCTCACCAGCATCTGGGTTCTTCCCTCATCTAGGGCAGAGGATACCAAACACTTTCCCAGCTTCCTCAGCCCAGGGAAAGGGCTTTTGCTCTAGGCCTACCAGTCAGATGTTCTGCAGTCTGATAGGGTGCTGGTGACCAGCACTAGGACAACAGAGACTTTGATGCCGTCATCAGAATTCTAGGCAAAGCACCTCACTCTGGGGTCCCAACCGGCCAGATTCAGACACTGGTCACCTTGAGAGTCCCATCGGAGACAAATGGTAGAGAAGCAGAAAAGCAATCAGTTCAGTATGGGCTGAGTTAGTGATACAGGAGAAATATGACTCCCAACCTGCTAGACGTCATGTATGCTTAGTTCACCAGCCCCTGAACTCGAAGAATGAATTCCAAAAGACAAAGGAGATTTACAGCAGGAAAAGTTTGTTGAGAGATAGCTCCTGAGAGACAGGTGGGGTCCCAAGTGGGTTGCCCTTTGTCAGGGGTAATTTATACAGCAAAGTCACACTGTGAGTGCAACGTGGGTCCAACTCTAATCAATCAGTAAGATTCCAAGCACATTCCCTTAGCTAATATGGATCCAACAGGGAAGCAGGTGACATCATTAACCCTGACATATATATGACCCCTAAAACTGGGCTAACTTTGGGAAGGGTTGGGTTTCCTGCTGAGAGTGTTCAGACACCTAGTACCTGACACATGTCTAGATTTAGTGGACAGGGTAGAGCTGGGGATAAAGTTTAGTTGCACAGCACCTGCCTAGCAAGCACGAGGTCCTGAATTTGAGTCTCAATATTTAAAAAAATGAACTGAATAAGTCTCAAATTTCTATTTATCACTTAAGGAAATATGTAAAATAGTCCATAGTGCCTTTATCTTGAGATCTGACCTTCTGTAGCATATATTGTTGTGGGAAAATTCCCAAGTCAAACTGAGAGGAAAGACTACTGAGGAGATAAGAAGGCAGTGGCTTCATGCCAGGGGACTGTTGTAGGATCATTCCCAAAGGCAACAGCCCTGAGTTTACAGAGTTCATAAAGTGTTTAGGAGTGGGAGGTACAAAGCAAGTGACAAATGTCACATAATGGGTTACCCGTGTTAGTCATATACAGACAGGCAGGCTAGTCTTGAACAGATTTGTTGAAACAAAGGAATTAGTTAACATAATATAGAAACATTCCAAAAACAAGGAGAGGCGGCCCCTAAGGGTGAGCATAGTTAAAAATGTCCTTGACTGGACCAGGGTGCCTTAAGGTATAGACAACTACTCTGACACAGTGTTCATCAGAGGTGTACAGCTGGGCTTCAGACACTGTCAAGGTCAACTGAATTCAGCAGAAGCAGCAGAAATTTGGTCAGAGACCTTTAACTGCTAATTTGTATCATGAAATACCTATAAGTTTGCTATTTTTAAATGTGTTTTTTGGGTTTTTTTTTTTTGGTCTTTTTCGTTTTTATCGGTACCAGGGATCGAATTCACGACTGCCTGCTTGCAAGGCAGGCG